TGTGGGGTGACTCTATTGGAAGGTGCATGACGTTCTCCTGATTGGACTGGGCTTGCGGGTTTCGGGAGGAGGACCTCACAGGACATCACAGGCGCACCCCACGACCACTTGTCCTTGTGGATGTTGACCTTGAGCAGAGCTGAGGTCATGTTCTTCAGGTTTCTCTGCCTCCCCCTCCTCATGCTGTACTCGGGCGAAGGAAGTGTATGCACAGCCCACACCTGGGGTTGGAGAGGTGGTGGAGGTGGTGGAGGGTCTACATAAATGATTTGGAATTTTTTGCACGGGAGATTTGTCTCTTCTCCCCCATTTATTATCCAACTGTGTATATCAGCATGGACTCGTGGATACTTGTTTTGTACTTTGGGTTATAATCCAGCTCCACTTGACTTTCTTGTGCCAATTATTCCAGCTTTGGCTGTCGGGGGCTCTTTTAGTCAGCCCGTGTCCCTTTCCCATAGTCCTATCAGTGGGGGATTTATTTTTGAGCACTTCCTTATTCTCTGGCACTACAAGATGTTCACATCATCTTCTGTGTTTCCTGCCCCGGTCCCAGAACGAGCCATTTCCCTAAGGAGCCCTGGTTCCTGGTATTGGAGAACAGTGTTAGAAACCACGGTCTGGGGCCAGGGGTGCTCATTGCTCCTGGGGTATTGTTTCTTTTAGGCTCTCTCGGCTGACAGAGCAAGGAAATAGATGTGTATATATGAACCCCAATATATACACACACCTGTAAATATTTCTTTGTGTGACCATCTGCATCAATATTAGGTTAAATTCGAGTTCTCGCTGGTGTCTCCAACTCTAATCCATCTCTGCACGTCATCTCCTCCCCTTCACTGTAAATTTCCATCCCAGCAGTGAGAAACCTGCTCCCACCATGCTGTCCTTTCACTGACTGTCCAGCGTCAGCACAGCACGTAGGGGTCAGAGTTGTTAGCCCGCATGCCTGTGAGAATCAACGGTAGCGAGCGCAGCACAACGCTCCTGTGCAGTTCTCTTTGCCTCTGGTCTTAGGGACCCCGCTCACTTCCGAAATTACTTTGCAGCACCTTCCCCCACCCCTCCAATGAGTTCCTGCAGCTTCTGCTAGTTTTCTTTTTTAATAAGTGGATGGCTGCTTTCTGGGAGTGGCAGCCTGAAGGTGAAACCACCACCTCCAGGTGTAACCCGAAGCCTTGGATGTCCCTCAGGGCAGATGGGCAGCCCCACGCTGTAGTCTCTGAGCTTAATTTACTCTCTACCAATACCTCACAGGGATTTGTACTTTGGCGCCTCCTTCCCGAGTCTGTGACGTGAGCCTCTGGCCACATAGCTTGTGGGAGGTGAGTGCTGTTTCCCCATCACCTTCAAGACGTTTGCTTGGGTTTGGTCTGTGATCGTGACATCTCTGTAGCTCAGTGTTGCCCTTTCCTTCTCTGTCTAGCATGCCATGGAATTTATTTTCCAAAGAGTTTTACCTCAGCACCTGCACTGTGTATTTTGAATAAAAATAGTTCTCTACTTGAACAATCTAAAATTCCCCACTGGCAGGGATTCTGTAACCCCTTCCTCACAAGGTCCTGGACATAGCACAAGTGAGTGCAGGAAGGCCGGGCGAGGTGGTCACACCTGTAATCCGAGCACTCTGGAAGGCGGAGGTGGAAGGATCACCTGAGGTTAGAAGTTAGGGACCAGCCTGAGCAAGAGTGAGATCCTGTCTGTATTAAAACTAGAAAAAATTAGCTGGGTGTGGTTGCTTGAGCCTGTAGTCCCAGCTACTCCAGAGGCTGAGGCAGGAGGCTCGCTTGAGCCCAGGAGTTTGAGGTTGCACAGAGCTATGATGATGCCAAAGCATGCTAGCTGGGATGACAGAGAGAGACTTTATCTATAAAAAAAAAAAAAAAAAAAAAAAAAAACAGAAAGAAAGAAAAAAAAACAAAAGAGCAAACGAGTGCATGCATGCCAGCAGTCTCAGACACTTTCACAAGTAGTCACTAATTTACTTCTCCTAACATCACTGTGATGTGCAGGTACTTGGACTCATTTTACCAGGCAGTGTAGCCAACTGAACAACCTGCCCAGGCCTCCTCATTGACGTGCTCGTGTTGGGTAGTTTGAGGTCGAATGTGCTCTCCAGGGCCTGCCCTACCTTGTCCGAGTGCCCCCTAACCAGCCAGGGCGGCAGCAGACACATCTCTGGCTTCTTGTGAATCCTAGCAGGATCGTTGCCAGTGGGTGCTGAGAGTCACCTTATACAGCAGTTGAGAGGCAGAAGTGACTCTAACTTCAGGCACCCGCTCTCTGGAAAATGTGGCACATTCTCACTGGGTTGTTCAAGTGCACTTAGCTTTCAGGGTGCTGGTTATTCTTGGCACTAAGAAACTAGACCAGAAAAATCTCTTACGCAACATGCATGGGCCATGAAGGATGGAGTTCTAATTTTCCAGATTCAGAAGGCTGATGGCTGGATTCCAGATGAGCCATGTCCACTTACACTTGTGTGAGGTTGTGTGCTCCTTCGCACAGATGTTGAGGTTATGAATTATTTGTCTTTGGTTGATATTTTATGACATTTTAATCCAATTATGTATTGAGGCCTTGATCTTAGTCTTTTCCTATTTATCTAGGTCCAAGATCAAGCCTCCTTTTTATGCTTAATGCTGAGCACCTGTGAAGCATCAACCAAGCACAGGCCACCACCCTAAACCAGGTGGAGCAGGAGTCTCCAGGACCTACGAACTCTGTGGTTGCACTCTTGACAGTGGGGGTTGGAGTTACAGTAAATAGCTGCTCTCACAGACTTCTCAGAGAGTTGCCTTGTTGGACATCTTTCCAGCCCTGGTCTCATGTCCTCTTGTCCCACCACTTTGCTGCGGCTATTGCTGCAGTAAGCAGCAGTGCACAGGTAGCCTGGCAGGACCCTGCGCCAGCTTCCCCTGGCTCTCTGCCACCTGCACCTGGGATGCTGGCAGGCGCCTGCCCAGACTGCTGGTGCGTTGCACACCTGGACAGGTGAGGGAATTAACACCCTTAGGCAGCCCCTGACCAACGGGCTAGGAGCTGGTGGATAAATGCTTCCTTTCCCCAAGCCTCGGCCGGGCAATCTGAGGCTCCTTCCATGGCCTTCCTGAGTGGGTCCCCCAAACTGCCCACAGCAGTAACCCCTCAGTAGTGCACCCTGCCCGGGTCCCGCCCCAGTTTCCTGGAATGGCTACTCACACCACCCTCCTGAGCGGACATCTGTCCCAGCCTGCCTCTGGGGGACAGAAGCCAAGGCAGGCGCCCACCTATTTCAAATAACATCGTGAGGTAAAATACTTATTTCATTATGTGACAATTTTCTTAGAAAAAGTTTTAATGAGATTAAAGTTTAAAGGGCAATAATGTCTGGGAGCTGAGTTCCTCGGGGCCAGCTAGGCTCCGGAGACACCAAGCCAGACACATGTCTTGGACACTGTTCCTTTGAAGTGCTGAGATTTGGCTTGCAAAGATATGTTGGGAGTAATCTAATTACTTTGGAAATACATTTGTGAAGTGCCCTTCCTCCTAGCTGCGATGGGTGGTGGTTCGGGTGTGTTGTGCAAACATGGAGTGAGCTACGAACACGCACGCAGGCCCCAGAGAGCTGAGCACGCCGCAGACGCAGGCCCCCCTCCCGACACGCGCAGGCACGGCGGCGTGGTGCTGCGCTGTGCGCAGGCGCCGACAGCCCGGCGGCAGGGCCTGTGTTCAGGTGAACACATTTTCTACTCCGTGGATGTGAGAAAAGTAAGACAGTCAACAGCTCGGGGTTTACAAACATCTGGAATTGCTTTGTGGTGTTACACAGGGTAGAGCGGTCAGAGAGCACAGCGGGGGCCAGTCTCTCCGGGACAACTCCGGCCGGGGCATCACTTCAGATCGCGAGGTTCGCCTGCGGGCAGCGGCCGGCAAGACCCAGCTGGGGAGGCCCTGGCCGGGGCGGGGTGGGCGAATGACTGGCACGTGGTTGTCTCTGTTTTTTATCTTCTGGAGCAGATCGGGAGAACTCACATCCACCGTATTTGGGAGAGACGGTGCTGGCAAGATGTTGGCTTAGAAAACAGCCAGGCCCATCCCAGGGAGCTCCCGTGGGGACGAGGACTGGGTTCACAAGCCCCCGGGCCCCCAGCCTCACGTGTGCACCTGTGCTGCCGTGAGTGGCCTGGAGAGCAGGTGACTGTGCAAGGACACAGTAAGCGGTTAGCTACGCCTCGCGGCAAAACGGTCAGCGTGGGCTCACAGGACGTGCTCGGGCTGGGAACAGCTTTCTAGCTGGGAGGACGGCTGCATTTCATTCTGCAGCCGAGCCAGAGAGCGGCCAGCGCCTGCTCAGTGACTAAGTGGCTAGCTGGGGCAAGTGCTGGTGCTGAATCCCTTTGGTAGCCTTCTTAAGAAAAAAATAAAATCAGTTTTTGGGTTGGCAGCTGAAAACGAAAGTTTACAAAATTCTCAGGAAGTTCCAGCAGGCAAAATGAAGCCTGGAATAGAAGGCGGTGTGGATATATCTGCAGATTCTAGATGGTGAGTGGACCAACTCGTGTCTCTAACCTTTCTGTGCCTCGGGGTCTCTATCTTTAGCACAGGAATTGCATTTGCCTTAATCTCTTTCTTGTTTTTTTTAAACATTAACAGAAAATTCATTGAAAAGTATATTTTACTCTCTTTAGGTAAGGAAATTTCCATTGTAAAATATAAATATTCATGGTTTTGATACTGTAATTCTGTATAAGAATATGTGAAAAAATGTTTACTGATTAAAAAAAAAATTAAGCACCAAGGCTGGGCACGGTGGCTCACGCCTGTAATCCTAGCACTCTGGGAGGCCAAGGCAGGAGGATCGTTTGAGGTCAGGGGTTTGAGACCAGCCTGAGCCAGAGTGAGAGCCTGTCTCTACTAAAAATAGAAAAATTAGCTGACGTGGTGGTGAGTCCCGGTGACTTGGGAGGCTGAGGCAGGAGGATCACTTGAGTCCAGGAGTTTGAGGCTGCAGTGGGCTATGGTGACACCACTGCACTCTACCCAGGGCGACAGAGTAAGACTCTTTCAAAAAACGTAAAAACAAACAAAAGAATAAGCACCAAAATGGACTTCCTGGCGTGAGCGCCAAGCGAGAAGAGCGCCGTGGCCTCACAGGTTCTTCATGCAAACCTGGCAGCGGCTGATGTGCGTCCGGATGAGGCCGGCCTTGAGCGTGTCGGCCGAGGGCGAGCCCTGGAAGCTCTGCTCGGGGATGGTGGTCAGCCAGAAGCTGTACTTGTTGGCGTAGTAGTGGCAAGTCCCACGGCCCCCGTTGCACTCGATGAACGGCGTGGCGCGGAAGTCCTCCAGACAGCTGCCCGGCGACACCAGCGACTGGCCGCCACCTTCATCCCCAGCGGCTGTGTGCTGTTCAGAGGGCAGAGACAGCAAGTTAGGAGCCTGCGGCCCCGAGTGCCCAGGGCTCAGGTTACGGTCCGCTGTGCTGGTTTGTTCTTGCTGAACCACAGACCGTGACCATGTCTGTGTCAATGTGGACCCACGTGCAGCACTGTCCTCAGTGTACCTTGTTCAGCAGGAGGGGTGGCGGGATGAACTCAGGGCCACATGCAGGTGGCACCCAGGTGTGCCGAGCTGCCGGGCAGGGCCGTCCATACCCACCACGGTCATGGCGGCCGTGCAGTAACACCAGAACAACAACAGCAGGCACCGTCAGCACGCACTGTTGATTGCCTTTTGTACAAAAACCCGACACAAGCGTCTACCCAATCATCCATTCAAAGTAAAGTGCTTGGCAGAAAAAATAACAAAATGTTAACTTTTAAAAAATAAAAAGTAAATACGTGGGCCAGCGTCTGCAGCAGGTGAGCTACAGGTAAGCAGTGCGGTGGCTTTCCCAGCCCCCTGCACGCTGATGATCAGGGAGGGAGTGTGACTGGTTTTAGTCATTTTTTCTTTTTTAAAAAATCTGTACTTGCTGATTTTTCTACAATAAATATGTATTGTGTCATCAAATTCTTTTTAAAATCAGAAGTTGTTAATTGAGCAAGTAGTTAATTCTGAGGCTGCCTGGAGACTGGGTGAGGTTTCCAAAGGAACTTTGTTTTTCCACTATTTTAAAGTTCCACTTTCAGTCGCACAAACATGTTCCGCCTCTATGGGGGCACACAGTAGGCCCCTGGACTCCGAGTTTATGTGTGAGTGTCATTTGGCCTGGCTGGGCAGGTGCGAGTGGGGACGGGGTGGTCAGAGCCTGTTTATTTGGAATAGAAATGTCTCAGGTCAGTTTGCAGGGAAAAAAGAGGCTGCACTGTGATATATTTAAGCAGGGGCCTCAGTCTAACCTTTTCTGTGAACAAAACTGCAATAAACCGAAAACTAAACCTTGAAAAGGAGTTCTGCTCACAGAAGGCGTGGACGCCTGGCCAGCCCCGCGCTGCCCTGCTCCGGCCGCTGAGAGCAGGCGGTGGGAAGCGGGGCCTCTGCACGAGGCGTCTCGGGCCTCGCGTTGGTCTGAGGGAGCAGAGGCCACGGGGGCCGGGCCTGCCGGCACAGCCCTGGGAGGGACACCTACACACACGGACACGCACGCACACTCGTTCTCACACACGCACACACGTATGCATATATGTATGCACACTCATGTCATACTGATGAGGGCACACACGGTGCACATTCATGTGCACATGCATGCATATTCCACTTTCCGATGGTATGAAAGTGACATCCCCCCAAAGGCATAAGTGACGAGACAGGTCCTCTCACCCTGCTGGTAGAACCAGGGTCAGGAAGCACCTCGCTTCTGAGAAAACAGACCGTCCTGTTGGCACTGACAGTGCTCGCCTCAACTCACGATGGAGTTACACCGTGATAAACCCAGCATAGACTGAAAACGCAATTTCAACTTAGGATTTTTTCATCGCACAGTGGGTTTATCGGGCTGGAACCTCGTCATGAGTCAGGGAGTCTCTGCATTAACAAGTAAACGGTGAGAGATGAGAAGGTGGTGCCGTCTCCACCCTTGCTGTTAAGCTCACCTACGCCAGCCAAAACGGAAGCTTCTCTGTTTTATACCCAAAGGCAATCTGGAACTCAGATTCCAGAAATTTTCTCATCAATGTATATCCATTTAAAACCAACCAGTTAATATATGTTTCTTGAGGGTATTCTAGTCTCCAGATAGATTCTACATAAGATTTTTAGGATTATACATAAGATGCTTGCCTATCATTAGACTTATGGTAAACTATTAGACTTATGGTAAACTACAAATAGCTTTACCTTTGGTGTTGTGCCTAGTAAGACAGATAACAGGCCAAAGTTATCCTAATTACACTGTGAACAAAGACTTAGAAGCAAATTAACGGGCCTTCTCTGGGTGGGGCAGTCCCATGCGTCGGCACGTGGCTTGGTTAGCAAAGTGCAAGCTGTATCATCTCTCGCTCATGCCCTGGGTGAGGAGCCCCTATGGAGTGCACAACTTGAACAACTGCCCTGATTGTTCTTACAAAGGCAATTGTTCCAGCAGTGCCCCCAGCCAAGGTGTGGTTTTGGAGAGAAACTAGACTTCCCCCTGGTTCCATGCCCTGAGAGAGAGCAGGTAAGCACCACGTACCATGAGGAAGGAATATCCAATCCATAAACTCCGCCACCCGGGTGGGCAGTGGGGGATGGAGACGTCTTGGCTGTGGACGGCGATGGCGACGGCGGGGGCCTCGCACACAGAGCAGCGGCTGATGTAGGGCTTGATGTCATCCTCGGCCACGGGCATCATGGGCAGCGGGGCGGTGGTGGAGAGCCAGTAGGACTTGTCGTTGCGGCTGGCATAGTAGCAGACGTCACCGGGATTGCAGTACAGGAAGGGCATGGTGCTGAACCGCGCCAGGCAGGAGCCCGCCAGCCCTGCGGGAGAAGGAGTCGTGAGATGGCAGCCTGTCCAGCTGGCATGTGCTCTGCAGCCCTGGCCAGGCCTGGGAGGCTCCACATCACGGTTGGCCCCAGGGCCAAGCCCAGGACAGCTTCCGCCATCCTCTGGGGGACCAAGCTGAGGCTCCCCAATTCCTTTTCTTAAAGACTAGAACAGACTCCACTGTCATTTCGAGACAGCTCTGCTCTTCCAGAAATTCTCACATATACCTCTGGACCAAGCTGGTGAGCAGGGAGCTGTGTCTGCATGATTTTGGGTGAGCCCCTATGTTAGGGGGATCTTAACAGCAGGGCCCCAAGAATCCACTGACAGCATGCAAGACGAGGCCCCTCTATGCCCCAAGGCACCCTCCAGAGGAGTCCCTGGCTGTCCCCACCTCCCTAGAGCTCCATGCTTCTGGGTCCATGTTCTTTATCTCATGTAAGAGTGAGTTATTTAGCTAAGCAGCTTTCCCTGTGCGCATCCCTGGCGCAAAATCCTAGAGCCAGAAGTGTGGTCCACCGTTAGCCTTCTGGGCCTTGCCCCGGCCTGTTTATTTTAGGTCCTTGTCCTTGTCTGTCTGGGCTTTTAAACACTGTTGTTTAAAAACTTGTTAAGAAGTAGAGCACAGAGACAGGAACGTGCCCACACGACAGGGTCCAGTTCCACAACGTGCCCAAGCTGAGCCCCCAGCGTCACCTGCACTGCAGAACAGAACATGGCCAGTGTCCTGGGGCCCCTCATGTCCTTCCCTCAAAGGTGACCACAGACTAGGATGCCCCCACGCCCACTTTCAGTTTGTGTTTGTTGCCTTTTCTGTATTTTTTAGGCCACTGTAAAGCCCTTTAAAGGCTTGCTTCGACAACCACACAAGCACAGGCACGTGTCCGTCCTCCCGGGGCGTCTGTGCGGGAAGGGTGTGCAGCCCAGCCGCTCGCGGCCCCGCCGACTCCAGCTCGTCTACAGAACTTGGCGCAAAAAGCAGGAAGGAGGTGAGGCAACAGGTGGCCCAGTGGAGAGGGCCGTGCGTGGCTGGCGCCACACCTGCGCCTGCGGAGGTGGACGCTGGGCTAGCAGGCAGGCCTGTGTGTTCCGGTTTAAGGACTTTGTGAGACTTCTGCTTCAAAGGTCCTTTTACTCTTTCTGAGCCCCTGGGAAGGTGGGGGACTCAGGCCTGTAGTCAGGAGGAACTCGTAAGCCTGGGAGGACTCACAAATCTCACTGTGGCCTTTGACCTCGACACCTCCAGGGCCAGGAGCCCGGCAGGCCCGGGGCGGGTGGGCACCTACCGAGGTCCTGGTTGTGGGCCTTCTCCTGGCCTTCGAAGTACAGCAGGCTGTACCCGCTCCACAGCCGGTTCATGCCCACGGGGCACATGGGCTCCTGGTCCGTCTGGCTGTGCTTCACCAGGAGGTAGCCGATGCTCACACTGCGGCCCGGCATCCCCGGCAGCCCCGGGCTCCCCGGACGGCCTGGCTCACCTAGGGCCGAGCAAGAGAATCAGCCCTTTCCAGCTGCCCTGTGGGGATCTCCAGCCCCGGGTGCAAGGCAGTTTTCCGGAACACCCAGAATTGACGCTCTTCTTCCCCAAGCTTGGGTCTGTCTTTTTAGACCAGAAGCCTCTTGGGAAGAATTTGACCTAAACTTTGTGCCCAATAGCATAGCATGAGCTTATGATAGGATGGGACTGAACTTTGGGGGTGGGTCCTTTCCTTTCCTTTCCTTTTTTTTTTTTTTTTTGAGACAGAGTCTTGCTTTGTTGCCCCGGCTAGAGTGAGTGCTGTGGTGTCAGCCTAGCTCACAGCAACCTCCAACTCCTGGGCTCAAGCGATCCTCCTGCCTCAGCCTCCCAAGTAGCTGGGATTACAGGCACGCTCCACCATGCCCAGCTAATTTTTTCTCTCTATATATTAGTTGGCCAATTAATTTCTTTCTATTTATAGTAGAGATGGGGTCTCACTCTTGCTCAGGCTGGTTTCAAACTCCTGACCTCGAGCAGTCCGCCTGCCTCGGCCTCCCAGAGTGCTGGGATTATAGGCGTGAGCCACGGCACCCGGCCAGGTCCTTTCCTTAAGGACTCAGTTGGCCGTGGAACATTCCCCTCAGGGAGTGCCGAACGGAGGAGCCTTCCAGCTGGAAGTGTCAGAAGACACGCCGGGCAGCCCCACTCCCTGCACAGCGGGAAGGGCGGCACATCTCAGTCAAGTTCACTGTGCACTTGGCCATTCCTGTTCTTCCCGTGTGGAGCTGAGATCCACCTCCCGGTAACCGGTCACCTCCACCCAGGGGTCCACTTTGCCGGGGAGCACGGCAGGCAGCTGATCTCCAGCACAACAGCCCTTCGGACACATGAAAGCAGCTGTACTTGCAGCTGCTGTTCATCCACTATGCACCCCTCTCCCGGGACGTCCCCTCCAGCCTCCCCTGTGCTCTCTGCCCTGATGGACTCCGACTTGTCCACGTTTGTTTCTGGATGTGCGTCCGACAGGCTACACCTCACCTTTGGCTGTGGGTGTGCCCCGGGAGGGCGGAATGCTGTTTCCTTTGATCGGGACATGCCCATGACACCTACGTTTAATTTTTCCCACGGCTGCTAATACCATCGGCTCAAACTGAGCTCAGGTTGATTAAAACAAATCTCAAGAATTTCTGTTTGCACCAATGGCTGTTATTGCTGGCCTGCCCGGTCCACCCTGCACTCGCACAGATAATTTTAGGAGACTTGACAATGGCTCCTGTTAATTTGCTTGGTTCCTTTCAGCTCCTGGAGGTTCATCCATCCCGGCCCCTCACCCCGCACCCGCACACGTCTCCGAGGAGGGGCGGGAGCCTGTCCCGGTCGGGAGCCCAGGGATGATGGGCACAGACAAGCCGGGGCAGAGCGGGGGTCGGGGAGGCAGCCCCCGTCTCTGGCTTTTCGGCACCACAGTCTGTGTGTCCGGGCCACGGAGGGCCCGAGAGAGGCCCCTGCTCTCCCCGTCCCCACCGGTCACTCACCTTCTTGGCCAGTCGGGCCCTGGTGCCCCACAGGCCCTTGGTCCCCCCGGAACCCTGGAACAGCAGACACGCCGCCTCTTCCCTGGGGCCCGGCCTTCCCTGGATCCCCGCGGAGACCTGCAAGGCACCAGACATGTGTGACGCCTGGAAGCTGCGCCGGCCCGGCCGGCTGGTGCTCGGCAAGAGAATGAAAGTGGACACAAAGCAAACGAGACGAGCCCCTCCCTGGCCGCTCCAGGTCAGCACTTACCTGGGTCTCCGGGGGGGCCCTGGGGCCCCATCTCGCCCTGCGCCCCAGGAAGACCTCTCCTCCCCTGGGGACCCAGTATCCCAGGCTGCACGGCGATCCTCGGGGGGACTCCTGCAATCCCGGGGGATCCCGCAGGGCCGGGCGCACCTGGAAGGGGAAAGAAAGGCCCTGTAAACACACGCGGACCCCCAGCTTCTCTCTCACCTCCACACTGAGGAAGCCAGTCTTGGCGCCTCCTGGAACAGCCTTGCTTTCCAAGGACGAGGCGGGAATACCTCACTGAGGGGTCACTCTGCACCTGCCACTGAAACTTTCGTTTTCCTTCCACCAAGACCCGTGAGTGCATCTGGGGCCCAGCCCCGGTTTCCTCTCCCTCTTTAGACTGTGAGCACGCTAGAGGACAGAGGGATGCTGGCTGTCTGACCTCAGGCGTGTCCCCAAGTTCTGGGGGCAGGGACACTGGCGGCTACGGTTGGCCTGAGCCGCTGAGCCCTGCAGTGTGCGGACAGCACTTACCGGGGAATCCTTGGTCTCCTTTGGGTCCCTTGGGGCCTCTGTCACCCACAGTCCCGCTGGCTCCAGTGCTGCCCATGAGGCCCTGCTCACCCCTGGGCCCTGCAACACAAATGGGACGTTGGGACACGAGTGTGTCAGGAGGGGACTCTCACCGCGACCACGCTGCGCACACTGTTACCTTTCTCTCCCGGGAGCCCGAACACGCCAGGCCTGCCCTGGGGCCCGGGGTCCCCGACCCATCCTTTGGTCCCTGGGACTCCGGGAGCTCCTGGGTTCCCCGCATCGCCTTTGCCTCCAGGAAGAGCAGCAGGCCCGGGTGGCCCGGGGGGGCCTCGGTAACCTGTTGGCAAAAGTCACAAGAAAGGGGAGTTGAAACGGGACCCTGGGGAGGCACCGCCATGGCCAACTGGGGCGCTGGGACTCCAGGGGACAGGTGGCCGGGTGCAGTCACCTGCTCAGGAGATGGTCTTTGGCAGGTTTGTAGCACTGCAAGACTTTATCTTTTTTTTGTTTTTTTTAAATTGTGGTAAAATATATATATATATATATATATGCATGCATATATATATATATATATATAAAACTTACCATCTTAACCATTTCTGAGTGTACCATCAGTGCCCGTTAAGCACATTCACATTGTCGTGCAGCTGCCACCACCATCCATCTCCAGAGCTTTCTCAGCACCCCTGGCACCCACCGCCCTGCTCTCTATGAACTGGATGACTCTAGGTCTCTCGTTCACATGGAATCCTGCAGAATTTGTTCTTTTGTGACTGGCTTATTTCACTTAGCACAATGTCCCCAAAGTTCATCCAGGTCATAGCTTGTAACAGATTTCCTTCTTTCTAAGACTGAATTTTTCCCACGGTGTGTGCAGACCGCTCTGGTCTACTTGCTCGTCTGTGCTGGGCTGGGCAGCGTGGCGGGTCCCCCGTGGCGGCTGTGCATCATGCCGCAGTGAACGCCAAGGCACAAATGCGTGCGACGGGGGCTCCACCTGCACCCCTCCTCTCTTCAGTCCTCGGCTGGTACTTGGCTGGGACGCTCGAACTAGACTGAATGCCTGCCTGAGTGCGACGCGCTGAGGGAGCAGCAGCCCCGCGTGGTGCGCGTCTGAGTCCGCTGCAGTCTGTCTGATCCTGCAGCAAGTGACTGACAAGGCCTGTGCCTCAGTTTCCTGGGGACGAGGACATGCAGGTGGACAAAACACAGGATGAGCCACAGTGGCCACTGCCGCTTGGGCCAGGCTCTGGACACAGTGAGGAAATGAGCGCGTTTTACCCCGAAAGTAAGCGGCCATCGCAGTGCCTGCCTTGGAGATTTCAACGTGCAAACACCTGAGTCCCACTCACCTTCTAGGCCGAATATGCCTGGCGCCCCCTTGTCACCGGGTGACCCTGAGATGTTGGAAGGGGGTGTGATGCCAGGGAACCCCTGCAGGCCCGGACTCCCAGCTGGGCCTCGCTGCCCTAGGAGGAGAGTGGAAGAAGTTATTTTTAGCAGCAGTGCCCACCTTTTCCAATCCGTTGCTTTCCCTCCATGCTAGCACCTGCGGAGGGCCAGAGTCCCCAAGGGCGAGGGACATCTCAAGGTGAGCTCTCTGGGTGCAGCTGGGGCGGCAAAGGCTGCGTGACCCACCATCAGGAGGGCTGGCCCCCTCCCAGCAGATCCTCCCTCCTGCGAGAGGACACGGCCAGGCCGGGCCCGAGGGCCTCTGCTGGGATGTGTGCTGTGCCTTCTGCCTGCTCCAGGCACTGCCTGGCCGTGCAGAGGGGCCTCAGCCGCAGCCCAGCCAAGAGCTGCCCGGCGGCTCTGTCCCGCCACCGTGGGGCTCGGTGAGCACAGGGCTGGAGGGACGCTGCAGCACTGCGGAGTGAGGCGCATGGGCTGCATTCGTGTCATATCGCCCTTCCTCCCTGAGCTGCCTTTCTGTACTCGGACCCCAGCTCTGCACGGAGCTGACTGACCCTAATTGCTTGCAGATTCTGTATTTCCCACGCTGCCTACTCCTTAACACTCTCTGTAACCTCCCAATGCTGGCTCTCTTGGACTTGCACAGAGAGACAAATATTAATATTTGCGTCCCAGTGAGGTCCAGCAAGGCGATGCCCTGCCCTCTGGCTTCAGCCCAGACTGCAAACAGCACTCTGCACTCTGCTTAGCACCACGTTTTCCATGTTTTGTGCTGTGCTTGGTGATCTGGCTGTTGAAGTGTCCCTGCGCACTGTGCCGAGGTGCCGCCCACCGTTCCTGGGCGCCAGACAAGGCTGTGATGAGCCTTCGGGAGAAAACTGGAGGCAGAGAAGCCCCGTGTGGCAGGAGTCACGCACTGCGAGCCCGAGCCCAGCGCTAACGCATCAGCCACACGTGTGCGCACGGTGCGCCACACAGGAGCACACAGAAAACAGAGCGATATATTGGTGATTGATGAAAATGCTGCGACGGATGCTCGCAGGAACCTAACCTGCATTTCCCCGGGAGCAACGGCTCAGTGCGCACTAACCCAGCGTCCTCGGGCACTTCCGAGCTCACGACCGTGAGCAATGAGAATCGATGGTGTTTGCATTAAAGGCGTTGGCACCAGCAGGGGATGACCTTGGAGGGAAGGGCCAAGCACAGAGGCCTGTGGACATCCCCTCCTCCCTGCGCCATCAGCCATGAGACGTCAATGGGGCTGTGTGCACCGGGCGGGGCTGCCCAGGGCTCGGAGAGCAGAACAGGTAAGTCCCTTTCTGTCCGGCCTACTCAGTCCTTTGTTTCTCCTGAAGGGCTAGGGACCAAGGCCAGCATTAGAATCCTGCAAAGCATCAGAATGTCCAGTGTCCGAGGCGGGCACCATTTCTGCTCTGGAGGAAGAGTGAGCTGCGGCCACACAGAGCAAGCACGTAAGGGTGAGACAAGGCACCGACAGCCGTTCCTGTGGCTTCCTGACTAATCCACATGGTCTGTAACATGAAGAGATTTTCCCGTTGGCAGATCCTGGTGCCCATCCCGGGGGGCAGGTTCTATTCGTGCACACTTTCAAGCAGGAGGAAGAAACAAATGCCAGGGGAACATTTCGAAAGGTGGCTCCAGTCTCACGAACCACAGACAATAAGCCAGTGGATTTACCGCCCTAAGGGGATTAGCGAGCCACCATCTGTAGTGTGATACAAAGTGACACCGGTGAACTGCATCTGACCGTTGTCGCAAAGCAACGGGAGCAGATGGCGAGTGTAGCGCACAGTGGCAGGCTCCTGGGTTAGACGATCCAGTGACATCCCAGATTGGCCAGATTCCCGTGACAACATGATTAGCTCCAGTGATTAGGACTCTGCTAATGAGAACACTTAGCAAACATGAGTCAGTCTGCTGGAATCGGGATGAAAACAGCTATGTTTCCTCAGCGGAGCGCACGCACCTCCCCGGCTACTGAGGAAAGCCGCGCTGCGGTGTCGGCTGCAGACAGCACCGAGGAGCGAGCTCCAGCTGCAGTGTCTGAGACAAGCTCACGCAGAGAAAGACGACACACTGAGGCTACTTCCACGTCCTCAGAGAAGAGCCTGTGTCCCCAGTGACTCTGCAGCCAGTCTGTGGACGTCATCACACGACGTCCCTTTCCTTGTCACCGGCCAGAGGCAGGGCCGCACACGCCAGGGCCCGTGGGCTCGACGGCGTCTGCTCTGCCTCCGGGATGGCTCCGTGGGCCACCGCAGGATGAGGGCGTGGGACCAGGGCTCTGCACCGGGCGCCTGGGCTCGTTGGGAAGCAGGAGGGCAGCCCAGGCCCCTTGGGGGGTGCGGGAGCTCACAGCAGGCTCAGAAGAGTTTGACATCTGGGTGCTGCACAGACTGGGTGTGGACCGGGCCGTCAGTGGCAAGTTAGGGATATTCCGGGCTGACATAACTCTTTCAACTGCGGTCAAAGGGCGTTACGCTACAATTTCATGATGTTCACCTCGAACAAACATGCATTGAGCCTCACTGTCTGATGAGCACTTTGCTGAGGGATAAACAGGGGTATAAAGGAGGTACCTTCCTTTGGGGATGGAAGTTGTAATCTATCCTTGCAGTCAGTTTCCGAGCCTGACAGCCTGCACGTGAGGCGGGTTAGATGCCCCATCACTCAAACACTGACAGCTTGTGTGCTGTGAGTGCTCGCCGGGCCAGTGCTCTGTGCACCGTCACAACGCCAGCGCTGTGCCCTCCGCCCTCCCTGGCGCTGGGTCGCCTCTCCGCGTCTGCGGCCACGCCTTCTCCACAGCTGCTCTCAGACCCCTCGCAGATCGCAGACTGGTGAGCTGATAACCTAGACTCTCTTTGACAAATATGCTATCTTTTGAGGACTTTAAAAAAGCCAACATGTGTTGCTGGCCTCTTGTGTGCAAGAGCTTTGCCTATATTATCTCACTGAATCCACTAATACCCAGAAGTGCATATTCATCCTCATTCTACAGACAAAGCCTAGAGAGAGTCAAGACCGTGGCCAAGATCACATGGTGATCACAGGGCAGGTATGAACCAAGCAGGTGTCTGCGTTAAAGGTCACAGGTATGGCCAACTTCACCACTGGGCTCTTCGGAGGCTTGTGCTGGTAGACTGACCCTAGATCTCCACCCATGACTGGGGCCTGTGCTCGTGTTTTGACCCTAGATCCTCCCTCCTGACTGGGACTTGTGCTAGTGAACTGCTCCTAGAGCATCACCCCTGACTGGGGCTTGTGCTTGTAGACAGGATCCTCGCTCCTGATGGGGGCTTGTGCTGGTAGACTGATCCTGGATCCCCACCCCTAACTGGGGCTTGTGCTAGTATAATACTCCTAGATCCTCACCCCTGACTGGGATTTGTGTTATTATACTGCTCCTGGATTCTCACTCCTGACTGGGGCTTGTGCTATTAACTTCCCCTGGATCCTGGCCCTGCTGGGGGTATGTGAGCACCATGCAGCCTCCTGGCACACACAGTAATGCTCCCGTTGGCAGCCCCTCTCCTCTTTCCCTTGTCTTCAGATCAATGCTGCAGAGCTCTGAAGTCAGGCATTCTGGAGTTTCCAGCTATTTGTGAGGGAAGAGGGAAGTGTCAGACCTGGAGAATCAGAGGTCACCTGCAGCCACGAGACACCCTGCACCCATCAGAGACTGGGCCGCTGGTCTCCTCGGTCTGGACTTCACCTCCTCTGGGTCTCTGTGTCCAGCTTCAGAGGGGATTGTGACCACAGCTTAGGCTGTGTGCCCAGAAGCCTGAGAGTTTCTGTCCCAGTGTGGAGGCCAGGGTGCTGCCCGGCACCAGTGTCTGAGCCAGGAGATGCCTCTGGCTGGGGCAGCCCCAGGGGCAGAATGCTGGGGGGCAGTGCAGACCCTTGGGAGCAGACGCGGGGGTGTGAGCTCACGCTCCATGGGACAAGCTCCTGATTTCTCTCTTATGTAAGAATGTTTCCCATTTCATTTAGACTGGAGCCCACCTTGGTAGGTGAGCAGGGAGGCCGGGAGGTGGGAAGACGTGTTTCTGATCGTTTCCTACTCAAGCAGGTCAGCCTGGTGCAGCTAGGAGATTCAGTGTGTTTACTGATTTGCGCATTTGATACTGAGGGTGCTTTCATGGCCAGGCCTGTGCCGGTGCCCCGCAGCACACAGAGGGATCAGATTGGTCTCCAGGCCAGGGAGCCCATGTGCCACCATGCGGGATGAGTGGTCAATGCCTAACCAACGCGACAGGATAAAATAATGGTATAGCAGAGTATCAGCAATGCAAGGCTGGTCAAGAGGCTTTGCAATAAGAAATTCTCCATGGAGAAAGCAGCTCTTCCCTACACCTCTGCCCAGGGGGCTGGACAGGTGGCGGGGCTCAGCCCCTGGCTGGCCTGCTCAGGAGAGGGTGGCACCTGCTCTGCAGTGTGTGGCTCACCTGGGGCTCCTTGTTCCCCTTTCTGTCCTGGGGCTCCCACAGGGCCTGGGAAGGTGTTGGCCTCTCCTGGGTCACCTCTGTCCCCTGGAGGGCCTTGGAAACCTGGGTCTCCATAGATGTCAGCACCTGGGGGAGAGTCAAAACAGCATTCAGGGTCCACACTTTCGACAATGCAAGGCTGACTTTCCAAGAGCAGTTCAGCGTGACTCTAACGCAGAGACAGAAGGCAGCCGGATCCCAGCCTGCTGTCTGGCCTTGAGGTCACAGGATCTGAGATTTGAAGGGTCTCAGAGGGATCGTGGTGAAACCCCTTGGTTTTAAAGATAAGAAAACTGAGGCCCATCAGAGGGTCCCTAGCCACAGACTCTGCCCCAGGCCTTCTGACTTCTGGGGGACAGCTCTAGATGCCAGGCACTGATTAGGTTTTAAAAGCAAACCACTATTTAAAATCTTTGACAATGATTTCCAGTCACTTGCCTATTGAAACTGGAATTGAAATATCAACAGGCATGTGATTATGTGAATTTATGTATACTATAAACACATACAAATTTATCTGTAGATAGATGACTACTTGGTTACAAAAAATATCTCCAAAGAGTACATTCGAATGCCAGCTATAGGATCATGGGTGGGTTTTTTCCCCTTGTTTAAATGTATTTTTAAAAAATTTTCTCCACTGAACATAATAACATCTATAAACTGAAAAGAGAACAATTAGTTATCTTTAAAAAAAAAAGACATAATCAATAATAAAGTGATTCTTCCCTCATTGCCCTATGCCCTTCAAGTGTTGTTTTATTAGTCCAATTGATAATTTAAAAAATTAAATGAGGCCAGGTGCGGTGGCTCACACCTGTAATCCTAGCACTCTGGGAGGCCGAGGTGGGAGGATTGCTCGAGGTCAGGAGTTGGAAACCAGCCTGAGCAAGAGCGAGACCCCGTCTCTATTAAAAAAAATAGAAAGAGATGAATTGGCCAACTAATATATATAGAAAAAATTAGCCGGGCATGGTGGCGCATGCCTGTAGTCCCAGCTACTCGGGAGGCTGAGGCAGGAGGATCGCTTGAGCCTAGGAGTGTGAGGTTGCTGTGAGCTAGGCTGACGCCACAGCACTCACTCTAGCCTGGGCAACAAAGCGAGACTCTGTCTCAAAAAAAAAAAAAATTAAATGAAAACACAAGGATATTAAGATTAGGATGAAAAGAACTAGATTTAAGATAAAGCAGTTTCAGAGAAGCTGCCGGGCCTCCCTTGCTGAGCTGTCTTGGGGAGGGCGGAGCTCGACGTGCGCTGTCTGCAGAAGCCACGCTGCTCCCCCTGAGGGGCACGCCGCGCAGGGCAGTGAGGCGCCTCGCACGGGCAGAGATGCCAATCGATTCTGCCACGGGATTTCAGAAATAACGGGGCTGCGCGTCCCCTTCGGGAATTTCTTTTTCTTAGGGAACAACAACTCTGGCACATCACTGCTACAGACTGAACCGTGTCCCCCCCAATCCGTAGTTGAAGCCCTAACCCTCACGTGACTGCTTTGGAGGTGGTGCTTCGGGGAGGTAACTGGGCCCAGAGGGGGTCATGAGGGTGGGCCCGTGATGGGATTAGTGCCCTTGTAAAAAGAGACGCGGGTGCTCTTCCTGCATGTGAGGATGCGGTGGGAAACCAGGAAGAGGTCCCCCCAGAACATGACCACGCCAGCACGCTGACCTCCAACTCCTAGCCCCCAGGACTGTGAGCAGCTGGAGTTGACAAGACACCATCGTCTCTGTCTCAAGTCTGAGACCTGCCGGTGCAGGCAGAGCACTGCTGTCTTCCTCATGCCAGGAAATAAAAGATGACAAGTGCCATGCTGGGCAGAACCGGGCTTCTGGACAAATGTGTCCCCAAACATGCCCACGGTCCTGCTCAAAAGGCAAGACCTTGGATTTTCTCTCTGACTAGAAGGCTTGATGGGTCAATTCAACATAATTTTTGATGTGAAAGAACGGACTTGTAGGGTCGCATCTCAACAGTCTGCAGAAATACAGACCCTCCCCCTCCCCCCCCAGAGCAGCGCCTGGGGCCGCAGCGTACCTGGGGATCCCAGCAGGCCCTTGGTGCCGGGCAAGCCGTGCAGTCCGCTGATCCCTCGGCTTCCCGGGAAACCTGTGGGGATTGCACTCATGGTTACTTCAGCAGCAGGACGGCAAGGGGCTCTGCGTGGGAGAAGCCCTCGAGAAAGTTCGCGTGGTTCTGTTTGCTGTGATGCTGTCGCCCCCACAACTCTGCTCTACCCTGACAAATGGGACGTGTCCACCTGTATACTCAGCTTACAGGACACGTGAACTAATCGTCATGTTACCCAGGAAAACCGCTGAACTGAAACACAGTTTACATGGGATCTTTTCTACAGACATGCTAGAGCCAGAAGGGGCCCGGGAGGTGACATGCCCAGTGCTTCCTGCTGACACCTGTCACTGTCCAGGTCCAGTCTGTAAAAACTGCTGGAACAAATGGCCTGAGGTCACTTCCTCTGCCTCTGGGTTTCAGGGCACAGACAGGTCTCACGTAGGATCAGCAAGCAGGTGGCGGTTCCTTCTACAACCTGGGTGCTGAGCTCGGCAGGGTGGCCTGTCTCTGCTGGGCCCACCTTGGCCCTCAGCAGGGCAGCCCAGTGGCCTGTTGGAGGCCAGCTCATACCCCCAGGCCCCATGGGGGTCCCCAGACCAGGCTTCATGGGCAGCAGGGGAACCTGCAGCAGAACATCACACCCTCCAGCCCGTACCCGGGTGTCTCCCGTGCCCTGTGTGTGGTGGCCATGAGTGGACCCTGACCTCCCCAGGAGGTTTCGGTCATCTTTCTGGGAGGTGGAAGATCAGTGTGTCAGTCTAAAAAGACAGCCCGGCACAGGGGCAAACCCTGCACTGGTGTGTCACATGAACTGAGGGAGCCATCGCCACTTGCCTACGTGCCCGGCGAGTGCCTGTCGCACCACGGTGTGCTCTGTGGGCCTCACCTGGTAAGCCTGGCACCCCGGGCCAGCCATCGTCTCCTTTGCTGCCAGGCGGTCCGACCTGGCCGGGCTCTCCCTGCGGCCCCTGCAGCCCCGTCAGTCCCGGAAAGCCTGGGAGGGCAAACACAGTGCAAAGCCTGAGCACCAGCGGGGTCTGCACGCCTGCCCTGGGCCGAATCTGATGAGAAATCAGAACTTTCCTTCCAGCCGGGCGTGCCTATGGCCTTGGACCCCCAGGTTCAAGTTCAATAGGATTAGTGTGGCCTTTCCAAAGAGAAAATAATGTGTATTTAAAAGTTTTCATCCTATCATCCAAATAGACACCTCGAGAGAGCAGCCCCAGGTTCACAGGTGCTTGGAAACAGAACCCACGAGCAGCAGCAGAGTGCGAGCCGGCCCACAGCCGCCGCCCTCCATCAGCCTGGGATGCTAAATGGGCATCTGCGCAGCCGAGGCACGGAAAGGGCTCTCTACAAATAACTCGGCCACACAGACGCTTTCCCTTGGTTCCTGCGCTGCCCCCACCCAGCCCCGGGCTGCTCCGCTCCCAGTCAGGGGCAGGGCTGGGAGAGCGGGCGGCTTGGGGGGACTGCCAGCAGGTGAGGTGGGAGCACACAAGGAGACAGGCACACGTGGCCCCTTTGTTCTGGGGGCTCGGGAGGCTGTGGGTTACAGGAGAGTTTACCTGTTTGTCCTTTCAGTCCAGGAGGGCCCTGGACTCCAGGTGCGCCAGGGATCCCGGGAAAGCCGATGCTGCCCTCTGTGCCCTTCTCTCCAAAGAATCCCTTTAGACCTGGAACCACAGACTTGCTGTTTGTTACAAACCTCGGACGCCACGTTACCTGGGGCTTCATGCCTATTGGCTGCCCTCCCCCCAGCAGGCCCACCCCTGCAGGACTTGAGGCTCCGGGCAACACGGGCAGTGTGGGGTTCCCCACGAGATAAGATCTACAGAATGGAGGCAACATCAGGACACCCATGGCCCTCTTGTGGGCCCCTTGCTGTTTACAAGGAGCCGTGGTTACTGATCACGCACTTCCCGCCCTCCTGTGTCCCAGGGCCACGGCGCTAGCTTGCTTTCCTGAGCTACGTTTCAGGGGCACCGGTTACTCCCATCCATCTTCAGAGAGAGATTTAATATAAAGTGACAGTCTTTCTTGCACAGTGGGCTTGAAGGCTTCAAGCCTTCACTATGCAGCTCTCTATGGAGGTCCCCAAACTCGATACACACAGACAAGCACTGGGGTTGTTGGGGAGAACGGAGAAATAGAGCCTCACGTACCTGGCATCCCAGCGCTGCCCTGTTCCCCCTTCAGGCCCGGCCTGCCTGGCAAATCTACCGTGTCCCCAGTGTCACCTGTTTCATGCAAAAAAGATGGTTAAGAACAAGTCTTATTGGTAGGTGGTTGGTTTTCCAACTTCTATTGTGTTAAATTCTTAACAAGAATAAGGTCCTCCAAAACAACTATTATAACAGCACCTGCAGGCCTGACACCACCCCCCCCACACCCCCCCGCCAGGGCTCTGAACTGTGGACTCCCTGTTTTCCCGTACGGGCAGCACTCACCGAAGTCACCAGTGGGGCCGGTTTTGCCGTATAGGCCTGCGCTCCCTGGAGCACCCTTGTCACCCTAGAGTCAAATGTGAAACCATCTTGAAACCGTTAGCAAGATAAGTTGTTATTTTGAAGAGCTAGTGCATTTATTTAACTATTCGGTATGCTAAAACCAATACTCAAGGTTTGTGGTCTTGTCATTTTGTAGAAAATTCCTAAAGTTTCTCAGTGCAGTATGGTAGGTGGTTTGCTTATCTGTTCTTACTGAACAGTAAAGTGATAAAAACGAAACGTGCTCGGCAGCTCTATCAGAATTAACAGTGTCAGTGACGCAGGTCTTGATGGTGATGGTGCTGACGACAGCCACGCGGTGACCGCTCTGCCAGGCTCTACACGGGCAAACGTGCTGGTCCCACCTCAAGAGCTTATTGAAGCTTCATGACAACCCCAGGAGGTAGGCACTCACTCCCCTTTGACAGGTGGGGGAATCGAGGCACAGAGAGGTGAAGTGATTTGCTTAAGGTCACTGCGCTAGCAAGTGGCAGAACCATAGTGTCAACTTGGGCTGCCGGAGTGCAGAACCTGTTCTCTAGATTATAAAATAGATTTGCAGTAGTGCACTTCCCCCTGTGGAGAGAGGGAGACTTCTTTCAAATGATGTTGGCTGCTGACAGTGAGACTGGGATGATGTCTGGGTCACTTGGTGACTTCACGGAAACCACAGTTTTCCTCTCTAAAGTGGCCTCCTCCCCAGAGGGCGTGGAGCTGTGGTCTGCCTTAGCGGCACTGGTCTCCACGTTAGCACTGGCACTGGGGCCTCAGTCCTGCAGCATCAGTACCCGAGCTCGGCTCAACTTGAGCTCTGAATTATTCATGTAGCTCCATTTCCTTTGAGAATAGGGGATGGTGTCCATAGGCTGCATCCTTGTTTAGATAATGATCTATTTTTCTTTCTCAAGGTTTATTGAGGCATAACGTATATACAGTAAAATGCACCATCTTAAATGCACAGCTCAATGAGTTTTCACTCATGTGCTACTCAGATAAAGACAGAGCATTTTCAGCCCTCTATAAAGTTCCTACTCACACCCTGCCCACAGGGCCACTCCTCTGACATCTCTGTCAGGCAGTCTTGTCAGTTCTTGGCCTTCACGTAAATGGAATTGCATCACATGTACCTTTCTGTTTCTGCTTTGTTTTATTCAACATAAAAGTCTGTTAAATTTAGTCAGGTTGTTGTTGAGTTTTATTAAGAATTCTCATTTTATTGCTGTGTGAGTCCATTGTCAGAATACGACATGTTAATTTATTCTCTTTCTTGCTGATGGACATTTGGGCTGTTTCCAGGTTGGGGCTGTTCTTATGAGTAAAGGTGCTGTGAACATCGTCATGTGTCTTTTGGTGGACATATGCGTCTTTTTTTAAGTGACCTCTCAAGTTGCACACAAGATTGGCTAGAAGTTGCCCTCAGCCGTAGATTCTGGGAGTGACGGGAGGAAGATACCTGAGGAATTCTGTACATCTAGGTGGGCTAGACAGGTGGGCAGCTAGAACCTGTCACGGCAGGCTCACGCCAAGGTGGCTAGACCTCTGTCTGCCCGGAATGTGCTGACCTCACTGGGAGTGCTGGAAGCGACTGGGTCCTGTGTGGACTGTGTGGGTGTGGGACTTCCAAATGCAAGAGGGTAAGGCAGACTCCACGCAGCACTGCCTGTGGGAGTGCCTCTGCATCGCGTTATGTGTACAGTCTACGCTGCGCTCAATAAACATGCAAGTAGCTACCACCTTTGTTTCACGCGGGGGAGGCAGGTGTGGAGAGGGGAGAGTCCTGCCTGGGGTCAGGCCCACAGCAAGTGTTCAAGAGGCATCCTCTGAATGAAGGAAGCAGTAAATCGTGGGCCTGGCTGGGAACCGAGGCTGCCTGACCCCATGTCATGCTGTGATTCACAGATGCGCTCAAGTTTAGAGCTCTGACCTCTGGAGATTCAAGCTCTGTTTGTTCTCTCAAGGTCCCCATGAGAAAATGCAGACGCCATGCTTTATCCAACGCCAGCCCGGGGCAGGGCCAACGCAGCCGGCTGTCGGTGCTGCAGCCACCACAGGTGTTGGCGTGAGCCCGCGTCTCCACGTGCTGCTCTGCGGGCCCAGGGCAGCCTGAGAGGCCGACTCTGAACCTGTCACTTGGCCACTGTCACACCGGTAAATGACGGACCAAAGCGCTTTCCTCATGAGCAAGGGAAGAGGCGTTCACAAGAACAAGTTGAGCAAATGACTCACTCACCCGGCTTCCTGTGAACCCTGGGAATCCTGTAATTCCAGGGGGGCCGGCCACCCCGGGGAGTCCTGGCAGACCAGGCACGCCAGGGACTCCGATGTCGCCCTTGACTCCTTTGATGTAGCCGGGCCTCCCGGGTAACCCAGGGGTTCCGGATAGCCCGGGGATCCCCGGCATTCCTTGGGTACCTGCAGGGAGACCGGGTGTGTAACGTGCTGGTGCGGACATAGCATTTGCCCTCCCCAAACTTTCAATTTCACAATTCTGGGTGCATTTTGCAGGCCCAAGTGCTGCAAATCTTAAAACAGAAAACAAGGCTACGTAGGCATCGGAGGACAACTGTGAGCCCAGCTGTGCAGACACCAGGGCCCCAGGAGACTTAAAACATAAGTCGAGCCTGGCAGAGTACAGGGGTGTCTCTGGGGAGAGGCGGGGGCGGCAGGGCGGGCGCCCCGGGCTGCAGCTCAGAGGCCAGGCTCTCACCTTTCAGGCCCAGGTATCCTTTCAGCCCCATGGGCCCTTCATCTCCTTTCTCCCCTTTCATGTCTTTCATTCCTGGCAGGATGATGGGAGGCGGTCCTGGGGGCCCGGGGTCCCCTCGGCTGCCTGGAAGGGAACAGACACTGTCATTTCCCGTGTGCTGCCAACTGTGTAGGAGCACACAGGTGGGGAAGGCCCCTCAGCCGCGGCTGCTCGCTTCCGAAGCCTGCGTCCCGCCAGGGCCTGCACATCTGGCCCACGCCAGGAAGCCCTGGAGAGAGACCGAGGGGTTAGAACATGCCTGTCTCCTCTCCCGCCCTCCCTCTCTCTCTGCCCCAGTGTAGGGGCGGGGCGGGGGGCACCAGCCCTGTGGCGGATGGAGGGACCTGCTCTTCCCAGTGGTGCATGCCCAGAGGCAGGGAGGGAGCGAGCAGGCGAGACGTGGTCTCTGGATGGCATTTCGTAGGAGTGTTACTTTTCTTGTGCACTGGGACGAGGCAGCCATCAAACTGCATCTCAAGCCCGGAGGCTGAAAGGAGGAGGGAGGCCAGCTCAGCGCCCTTCCTGTGAGTGCCCTGTGGGTGCAGGCCAGGGTTCCTGGAGGGTCACCCGCAGCAGGGAGATGACAGGCACAGGCTGGCAGAACGTGGCAGGGAGGGCTCTGCGAGCTCCTGAGCAGCAAGGAGCTGCGGAGGGTGAAGGGCTGGTGGGGACTGTGAGTGAGGGTCGGCCGAGGGCGCTCCAGACCCGCCCTCATCAGAGGGGTAAGTGAAATTGGCTGAGCGAAAAGAATTCATGCCATTCATCGAGCATGCACTGAGTATTCGCTGCTGGGCTAGATATCAGGAGACCAAAGCCAGAAGCAGAAGCTGCCCTCGCAGAGCGTGCCGTCCATGCCACCGACACCCCCAAGGCTCCGGCAACGCCTGCGCTAGAGCCGGAGGGAGAATGACACAGCAGCAAGGGCGATCGCGTTCGAATTTCATTTTAAAATGTCATTTTTGCCTGGTGGCCTGAAATCTGTCAGTTAACATGAAGATTATCTGAAAAGGCAAGTGTGAGTAAAAATCTTAAAAAAGGCTAGTACCCCAGATGGCAGTTTCTATTTTGCTGAAAATTTGTAAAAGTCATAACTCTTTGGGGAGTAATCAAGGTTTTTTTACAAACGGCTTGGTTGATGTACAAGTTGTATGTCATACAAGTCACTCCTTTAAGGAGAACAATGGCATGACTTTCCGTGAATTCACGGAGTTGTGCAAGCATCACCACAATCTAACTTTGGAACGTTTTCTTCACAGAAAATGAAACCCTGGAGCCACTGGCAGCCTCTCCCCACTTCCCCCTCTCCTCTCCGCCCTAGGAAATGGGTAACTTACTTTTTATCTCTGTAGATTTGCCTGCTCTGGACATTTCATGTGAATGGAATCAGACAACATGTGGCATAATGTTTTCCAGGCTCACCCACATGGTAGCACGTGTCTGTACGTACTTTATCCTTTTTTACTGCCTAATATCCCATCGTATGGCTGTGCCACATTTATCCATCCGTGGGTCGGGTGATGGACATTTAGGTCATTTCCATTTTTGGCTATTATGAATAATGCTGCAATGAACATTTGTGTGCAAATTTTTCTCTGGACATGTTTTCGATTATCTCACTTAGGAGTAGAATTTCTGGGTAACTGTGTTTCACTTTCTCATAAACTGCCAAAGCGTTTTCCGCACTGGCTGTACCACTCTACACGCCCACCGGCAGCGTGCGAGGGTTCCTACTTCTCCACTTCCTCTCCAGCACTTGCTGTCAGCAGTGAAGGTTTTTTTGGTTTAATTTCCATATGTTTAATTGCCAGCCAGGTTATGTATCTTTCCAAATTTTTTACTAATTTGTGAATCACCTCTTTCTCTCCTCTGCTTACTTGTCTTTCTTACCAAATCCCAGGAAAATAATTTAAAAGACAGAATTAATAAATAAGCCTAACTATTCATGTATTTGTTTTAATTATTCCCTCTATTTCTCTCCTCATGCTTATAGTATGTATCTATACTTATAAAAAAAGATGTGAATATATTTTTTACATACAGAGCTAAATATTCATCCTTTTAACAAGTCTATTTCTTTAGAGAGTCTTATAAAATTCTCTTGTTCATATGTGAATGGTATGAACACCATCCAACAAGCCCATGTGCCTTTGGACTCACACTTAACTCTTATTTATTTATTTTTTGGTCCTCTTTTTTTTTTGAAACCTTAAAATTTGTACCCCCATAATATGCTGAAATAAAAATAAAAGCAGCGAAGTTTTGAGAGGCCACGGTGACTCTTTCCGAGCAGAGGCGTCTGAACAGCAGTCGTGGGAACATGGCTTGTTCGTGATGGACTCAGTGAACCAGGCGCCGCACCTTTGGGGTGTCTGGCTGCCTGCCCGAGCTAGGGCCTGAACCTGCTCCTCATGGGCCATGATCCCTCCGGTGGCATTAGGTACCCCCCGCCCCGCGACGGCTGTGTCCTCCTGAGCCAGGTGGCACCCCTTCCCTTGGAATTCGGCTGTCTCTGCTGCCAGCCTGGCTCCTCCTGCACCTCTCTGCTCACAGGGTGCAGTCATGGTGGAGTAAGCTCCACCAGATGTATCTGGTTCCTGACGTTGCTGTCATTTTGTTCTCAAGTGTCCCCTTTGGTTAAGATTACTCCCTTAATGACACTGCCAATGCGCTGGGGCAAGGATGAAGCCTCAAGTTTTTGTTAGCTTGATTAATGTTTTCTTAAATACCAGCCTCTAGCTTTAGGGCTCCCGGACCGGTGGATCCTCAGAGATCCACCCTGAGCAGTGGTGCGGCACCACGAACGTGCGCGTCGCCCACGTTGGAGGATCCCAAGATCTCAAGACGGGACATACCTTTAACGCCCGGCTCGCCAGCCAGACCCTTCAGACCAGGAATTCCAAAAAATCCAGACTCTCCTTTGCTTCCTGGCAGCCCCGGTCTTCCTTTGAGCCCAGGCATGCCCTGGAAACCATCCATCCCAGGCGAGCCTCTGTCTCCTTCGGAGGAAAAGAGAAAGGCGCTGGTGGGGCGCGAATCGGTACACAGGATAACTCACGCTCACGTCTCCGTCACGCCTCGGCAGTGTGATTCGCGTGAGAGGATGCTGAGACTCTGAGTGTCACACGGGTTTCCAGGGACACCATCTTCGAGGTGACCTTATCTGCCGACCCCTGTTGTCTATAGACGAGGGTTACGGAGTCAGCCGTCCTCAGATACTGGTGCGAAGACACAAAGGACAGACAGAGGTCCGGCAGGAAGACTAGGAGGGAAGTCTGAAGGTGACAGAGGGGCATGGGCCCCTCCAGAGAAAGCTAGAGACGGACGCTGGGAACGAGCACAGTGCCGACACCACCCCAGCCCAGAGATCTGCACAGGACAGGGGAGACAGAACAACGTGCCTCCAGCGACGTGCACAGCCACTGGGCGCCGCCTGCAGCGGCCTGTTTGTGCACAAACAATTCCCGCTGACGGAGCATTTTGCTGTTTTGGTTTCGTGTTCACCAAACAGCCTCCAGACCTGAATGCAGCCTCCTGAGTGGGCCTCTCCTCAAACGTCCCTGTGAGGTGACAAGTGTTTGCCAGGCCAGAGCAGCCTCCCTTGGTAAAGCAGTAAACGGGCTTTCCGAGGGTGAGGCACCTGGTCCCACCGAGGCTCCCGGCTGTGCCGCCTCCTGGCGAGGAGCGCCCTGAGCCCAGACCTGCAGGGGTGTGGCCAGCCTCACGGCGGCCCATGGAGGTGCCCTGCAGAGCTGCCCTGGGCCAGAGCGTCACCACCCCAACACCCAGCAAGGTGATTCCCTGGTCACACCACACAGTCACCTTTCAGCCCAGGGGGTCCGGGCATTCCGAGCATCCCTTTGAATCCTGGGCTTCCTGGATGGCCTCGATCGCCGGACTGGCCAGCATCTCCTCTGTCGCCAGAGAATCCTTTCATGCCCACTGGGCCGGGGACGCCTGTGTCCCCAGGCTCCCCTCTGTCCCCAGGCAGACCTGCCAAAAGGGAGGAAGCAAATCAAAGAGGACGAACAAACACACACAGAAAAGTCTCATATGATACCAGTCAGGCCTCATTTTTTTGATAAGAAAATCTTCTGGGAAGGAAAATGGACAATGGCCACCACAGAGCTGCGTCTGCAAGCCTGGCTGGAGCACACAGAGACCCCACAGGGCTGGCCTTTCTGAGGAGGCCAGAGCCACCCCACAGGACACGAGCCACACGACTCTCCACGCCAGCGGCACAGTGGCCTTGACAACCTGCTGGGGTGTGGCCGCTGGGGTCGGGCAAGAGCCTGCCCATGGCTCCCGACGTCATCGCTGGCTCCAGCCCAGGGTCAGTTCTGGGGGAGGCCCCAGCTCCCACTGGGCCGTTGCCCTCCTGGCCTCCTGCTCTACCTCAATGTCATCATTGAGGGACGCCACCAGCCCCAGCCCACCGCTGCCCTCCAGGCTCCCCGCATGGGAGGCCAGCAGTCCCCAGCCTTTTTGGCACCAGGGACTGGTTTCATGGGAGACAATTTCTCCATGGACGTGGGGTTGGGTGGGGCGGTGGAGCTCAGGCGGTGATGCGAGCAGTGGGGAGCACCTGTAAACACTCGATACCCTAGCCTGCGGGTCACCTCCCGCTGTGGGGTCCCCTCTCCCAGGTTCCTAAGTTTCATGGAAGACAAATAGGCTATGGACCACTATGGAGCATGACAGTAAGCTGCCAACTACATCCCTAAAATCCTTACTTCTATGTTAACAATGCCAGGGGCTCCCTTTGCCTAGGGGGTGCTGACTTTTTAGCTCAGCATTCAGTGCCCTCTAAACTTTGGCTCTATCTTGCTATCTGGACCACCAGCTCCTCCTCAAATTAAGCTCTCCTCCCCAGCCAGCTTGGGAGACCACGGCTCCAAAGTGAGCCAGTCCTGCCTCTTTCCTAGAAAGCAGCCCCCACCCTGTTCCAATCCCACCCACCTTCCCCGTAGTCTGGCACTGGTCTCTTCCCCTTCCCTGCTCCCTGCCTCCGCGGGAACACTGAGGGCCACATATCTGCTCCCCCCGCTGGCTTCCCTGGGCCAATGCAAAACGTTTTATGTGTGCGATTCTCTCCCCAGCTAAAGTGTAGGCCCCAAAGGACAAGGCTTTCCCTTGGATCTTTCATGCACCATGCAATGCTTTGTGCTCAGTTGGCACTCGCTAGTTGAGCCTTGAGAACACTGAAATAGGAGGCCCCAGGTTGCTAGTTGTGAAGCAGTGGCTAGCACGGCACCCGGGGGATCGGACCTCGGCCACATCCAGCCCGTTTGGACACAACTGAGAGCCAACGTCGCAGAAGCCCATGTGCACGGTTGTGTCTGGTTTATGTGGTCAGTGTGTGGCATGGTGACTCACAGCAGACTGGCTAAGGTCCCCAACAAAGTTGTCACCTGACTGTACAAACCAGAGAATTTCGCTGAGATTGGGACTTCTTAAATGGCTAAGGTGGTCCATTGAGGAGATTGTTCTCATTAAGCAATTGTGTCTTTCCTAGTTTTTAGTGCTGCAGTGTCCTTTGGTGACACGGTGGTGATGGCAGGTGACACTTCTATAAAAAAGTGTTCTTACTGGGCAAAGCAGAAAGCTGGAAGCTTTGCTGATTACACAAAACTGAACTGAGTTTCACAGGTCCATGAATTGCAGAAGGCTGGGCCCACAGCTCTGCAGAGTGCACTGGAAGATAAACACTTCCCAGGCTTGGCAGTAGGGTTGGCTCATGTGGAGGACACTGTGCCCCAAATGCCTTCTGTGTCCCCACTGCCGCCTCCATCAGCCTCTGTGTGGTGGCACCGCTCCTCTGTGGGGCTTCATCTCCTGCTTCTCTGCTCCACCGGACCTCCGGATCACTCTCTTTCAGGAAACAATTTCTCCTCTCCAAATCAGAGCAGTGATTTTGAACTTTTGCAGTAGGAATTTCTCTCTTTTTTCCCCCTAATAATCCCCAATATATCTGTAACAGGTACAAAGGATGAGCTGCCTTCTCAGGCTGTTTACATCTGTTTGTGGAAGTCCTGCAGCTCTTGGGGTGGGTTCCTTGGAATAGTTTGAGAGCTCCCAGGGGAAGGCAGTGATAGTTCACTTGTCACTAAAGTGAGAACCCCACCCATTTTGGGGAGTGCTGGAGTCTTACCTCCAAGGCCTGGGGCACCTGGCTGCCCCAAGGGTCCCTCTTGGCCAGGATTTCCTGGGAATCCGTGTAGTCCTGGAGGCCCGGGCAGTCCTGGCTGGCCCGAAGGTCCCGGGAAGCCCAAATGGCCCTTCAGCCCCGGCATTCCGGGCATCCCCTGGCTTCCTGCGGGGATCAGAGACAAGAGCTGTGGGGCCACCTCCATGTGGCTCGTCACAGATCGCAGCCACCTCCACAGACTCAGTCTACAGAAATGGCACTTAACTTTTTCTGGACTGTGGAAAATCTGGAAAATACAAAGAACTATAAAGGATAACATCAAAGTAACTCATACTATCACCCAGAGATATTTACCAACATCTCGGTGTATGTCCTTCCTGCCCTTTTCTATTCCTGTAAATGGATATGTGAAGCTGTTTTCACGTGACATTATATTTTGAGCATTTTGCCACATTTAATACGATGACATGAATAAGGCTCCATCGTATGGACACAGTTAATGTACTCCACGCCCCCACTTTTCTCACCGTCACACAGAGTGCTATGAGGACAGTTTTGGGGACATACATCCACGCCCAAGTTATAGGTAATTTCTTTAGAGAAGTGCCCCAGGAAATTGACATAGATCATTAAATACTAATTTAATATTTTTAAATACATCACACTGATTTCTCTCCCAGTGTCACCTGGCACCGAGTGCTGCGAGCACTGTGGCACAGCCAGAGCCGCCGGCGGCCGGAGGAGAGTGCGCAGCTGGGTCAGTCTGCGTGCTCTCGGTCAGGAGTTACCTTTCTTTCTCCTAGTTTTTGCTTTTTGGTGAAGTTTTTACTGTTTGCTTATATTTTCCTTTGGGGATTTTGATATTTTTCTTATAGATTTTAGTATTCCTCATAGACATTGACTAATTTTCCTTCCTATCTATTCTAAAGTTTACTTTGCTGCTTAAACTTTAATTTTGATGTGTAGAATAGTTGACATCTGTATGCAAATTGTATACACTGTGTGTGTGTTTGTAGGTATATGTGACTTCTTAACTTCCTGTTTAGAATATCCTGCCCTATACAATGGTCAGATACTATGTAACTTCTAAGTTTTTTTTAACACTAACTCCTTGGACCTCTTTATATTTTGGCGGTATTTTTCTTTGCTTTCTTCTTGCAGCTTAAAGCTTGTTACAGTTAATAACTGTACACAATGAATAACGCAGGGCGCCCACTCCTGCAGTGACCTCCCAGTAAACTTTCCCCCGTGGCCTCACAACCATCCTGCAGTGTGCAGGGTTGGCCTGAGACAGGGAGGCCGATGGGGGCTGGGGAGTGAAGGGAAGGGCAGGGACAAAAGAGACCAGGTCAGTCCTGGATGGACCTGGAATCTGAAGTCAGGCTCCTGGCTCTCTGGATATCTGAGTGCGAGAACCCGCAGCGAGAGAAAGGGCTGGCTGAGCAGGAAGTGGAAGGTGCAAACGAGATTCTTAGGGACACAGATCCAGGTATTCTCCCGTGCTCCCACAGTGCCGTGGGAAATGATTGCACTTGCATTTTTCGGTTTTCTATCTTTAAAGTGAAGAGTTCCAGGGAAAATTATAATTGTCAGCGGTGCTAATGGTCTTGCAGAGCAGGCGGGCCATGCTGCAGGCTGAAAGGCTCTAGGTCCTGCCCACGATACTTCTTTTCATCGACAGGAACAACGTGTTGTGGGGGAGGTGAGAGACACAAGTTAACATCCATGACCAAGAGACACAAGTTAACATCCATGACCAAGTGGCGCCGGGACTGTGGGGGGATGGGGTGGAGAGCGAGGCGGGCAGGGCCGGGCGGCCTGGGTGTGGTCTAAGCGCAGCCCTTTGTGCAAGCGGACAGGGCAGGCTGGCCCAGGCGCTGCTGCTCCACCGTGATCCCAGCAGCGAGCACGACTAAAACAGAAATAGTTAGTTGGAGCTTTGATGCTCTGAAAACTAGGACTTTTACCAGACAAGGCACGCTGCCCAAACAAGGCATGTGTATTAAGCTCTTCAAAAGGGGACGTCGATCATGGTGGAAATTTAATAAGGCATCGAAAGTAAACCTGCTGCCATTTTTTGTTTTTATGCTTAAACATTTTGAAGCCTGTAGGAAATGAAGTTTTTTAAAAAAATATCTACCAGAAGAACTCATATGTAAGAGATCTTGGGCGGGATTTCCACAGCTGGGTGGCAGAACAGATTGATGGTGGACACGCTGTGACACCCGTGTGTGCTCCACTCTGCCTCCGTGAGCGCGGAAGCCACCACACATCTAAGTGCCCACCTGGAAGGCTGATGCTGGACCCAGCTCAGTCTCAGCAGACGGTCTCCAAATTGTACCTTGTGCCAATGAGTGACCTGGATGGCTACCCAATGGCCTGCACCCCCAGCCCTTGCTCCCCTGATGTGAGACTCACCTCTGAATCCCGGGGGGCCTCTGTCTCCTGGAAGGCCTTTCAGCCCTGGGTGTCCGGGCAGTCCAGCATCTCCCCGGGGCCCGGGCTGGGCTCCCAGGACTTCCCCAGGAATCCCCCTGTCCCCGGGGGGCCCGGCTGGCCCTGGGAGGCCAGTGGGACCTGGGGGTCCATCTGGGCCAGGAAGGCCCGCTGCGCCTTTGGATCCTCGGGGTCCCACGAACCCTAAAAGGAAACAGGGGTGGTCCCCCAAACCACAAGTGGGCATTATGACATTCTAAGAGAAGTGTTGATAAGACACTAAAAATAGCAAAGCTTTGGCCACAGTGCCCTCAGAAGGCATTTGTTGGGCTCAAGGCCCAAGGCTCTTGCTCACCCTGGAACCTACAACTCTCACCACGACACTCTTCTGTCGGTTAAATTTCTACTGCTTCCCTTGGCCATCTGGCCCCTTGCCCTAAACTTAGCTAAGGGTGGACAAGGCCTTCAGAACCGACCGTTCCCCAGACATGTATCTTCGTAATTCACAGGCTCCCATGTTTTGCAAATAATCCCTAAAGAGCAACTTTTGTGGGACCCTCTAGTTGAGCAAGCAGGTGCGGAGTGGAGCTGTGTGGCTGGGAACTCCCCGGGAGGCAGAGCGACCAGCCACCAGAGCCGAATTCTGCCTCCCCATGGCATCGCTCTGGTCACGAACCCCACCGCCCTCTGTCCTGTGAGTCACTGGGTCCCACATGTGGGCAGAGGGATGCTCGCTGTCACATGCCTTTCGCTGGTACCCCTGAATCAAATGACCTCCTCAGGTCACTTTCCATCTCAGTGTGCTCAGCCCCATGCAGCCTCAGAACCAGCTCCCAGAGCCGGCAGCCAGGCGGTGCCCAGAGGAAAGGTGTCTGAGGTTGGAGCCACCCCAGCTGCGTGTGCAGGAGGAGGGGCCTGCCGTGATGAGAGTCACACTTTAGGGATGATTCTATGGGCAAAGGTCAAACACACAAAAGGCTCAGCATTCCTGTGTCTGTCTGTTCTGTGCGGTGTATCTAACCAAGAAGATCCAGGCTGGGCGTGGTGGCTCACTCCTATAATCCTAGCACTGTGGGAGGCCGATGAGGGAGGACTGCTCAAGGCAGGACTTTGAAACCAGCCTAAGCAAGAGCATGATCCTGTCTTTCCAAAAAGCCCCCAAGAAAACCTACAAAAATTATCTGGGTACGGTGGCATGTACCTGTAGTCTCAGTTGAGGCAGGAAGATCAATTGAGCCCAGGAGTTTGAGATTGCAGTGAGCTATGATGATGCCACTGCACTCCAGCCTGGGCAACAGAGTGAGACCCTGTTTAAAAAAAAAAATCCAACAAACAGGGCCTCAGGCCCTCCTAGGACCCTAAGGCCAGCCTCGCTGTGGGCTGGTAGAGGGGTCTGCCTGTGTCTGTAGCATGAAGGTAGGGTCTGGACTTGACCTGATGTTGATTAGATGGACCGTACGTCAGAGTGTTAATGGTGTGATTTACTCACATGATGGACAGGCCTGACTTTAGCTGGAAGTGTGAAGAACTGTACCCGGGAGCTGTGTGCTTAGCTTTGCATGTGTGGGTCTTATATCTGGAATGGACTCTTTTTTTTCAGTCTTTGAAGTTGGGCATTTTATCTTCTTTTGCATGTGGTGATAGAAGTACAGTACATTTCAGGACCATAAAAGGTCATATGCATTTCAAAAACTGAATAGACCAGTTCCCATCTGGTCTACCCCAACATCCCTGATCACTTATGGGCTCCCATTTCTATACAGAACAGGCTTCCTACTCAGATTGTAAATCGCCTAAATCCCTGGACGATGGCATGTCCCATCCACGCTCTGCTCCAGGCCAGCTGTGCACACAGCTGTGCACTCAAACTATGATTGTCAGGTAGCTTTGACACTCAAAGCAAGACACCAGTAATGAATTATTATCCTTCTCTCAAAAAAATGAACACTTCAACTTAATATGTATGTGGTATCATCAGAACGCCAGTGCCTCGGCTTCTAAACATTTACATACTCAGCAGGGCAACAAAGCGATCCAGACCTATCCCCTGAGGTGGAGGCAGGAGAGGTTCCTTTGCAGCTCTCTAACGCACGGTTTTTCTCAGTGTCTTGAAAAGAGACACAGGAAACATGCTTCCTAGTTTTGCAAACATGTAGAGATGCAAAATATGAAAGGCAACAGCGTCCAGGTTTGCAAACAGTCACTGTGGGCTGCAGTACTGAATTCAGAAAGATAAAATCTGTCAAAGACTGATACAAAGTTCTACCCTTAGGTTTGAATCAATTATCCGAGTGCAGAACAGGGAAAAGGCAGGATTTAATTAATCTTTGCTGAAAAAATTCACCAAATGTCTAAATCTAAGGACACAACAGTCCCGCTGTTCCTAGGGACCTTCCAGACAGGCGGAGCGTTTCCTGCCATTTCCAGCGCCCAGTTTGGAAGGAATGTTGACAAGTTGAAGGGCAGTCATGGGAGGATGACCAGTCTGCCATGGGCATGGAAATAATGTCACAAAAAGAAAGCTGGTGATCTGGCGTCAGTTCTGCCCATTCATGTCTGTAGGGAGAAGTGGCCCCTCTCCGGTGTGTGTGGACATGAGTGAGTTGGCCGGGTGGATGTAGGTACAGCCCAGGGAGGGCTCGCTGGGAGGCAGACTGTATTCCAACAAAGGGGAACTTTCTAGCAATGAGAGGGTCACAATGTTGTGCAGGTCCTAGGTGACAAGAGTGATTCTAGCAGAGGCTAGAAGAGCACCTGCCCGGGATCCTGTGGAAGGATGTTTCATGCTGAGTGGAAAGTTGGCTGTGATGACTTCCACACAATGCAAAGCGGGCATGCCCCTGCCATCAGGGTGGTGCAACCATACTCGCTCACACCGTTTGCCTCACAACCGTGACGAATGCCTGACTCTGGGGACGCTGCCCTGTATACAGAGCGCGGTCACTCAAGAGCATGCGTCTGCAGTACACAGCGCTCTGGCGCACGAACACCCGTCCTACGGGGCGCGCTGGCGCGCGAGCTCGCACTGTACCACAACCCACCGTGGGAGACATTCATTTTCCTCCATATACAGACACAAGTCTTACGCTCTTTCAGCGACTACGGCTTCTGCAATTCCTTGCTTTGTCAAAAGGTAGTTGGAATCGTTTACCTAGACAAGCTGGAAACTGAAGGGTGAGCCGGGAGGGCCTCAGAAAGCAGGACCATCGTGATCCTCAGACTGGGGACAGACCACGAGAGCCTACTTGTGCCTAGAGTGACAGCCCCAGGACAGAGGAACGCCAGTTGCCCTTAGAATGTTTAACATCAACCAGAGGACACTCTTTCTGCAACACCTATCTCTTTTTCCTGCAGGACCTGTAGGTATTTCTGCAAAAGTCTAGCACAGTGTTAGTGATGAAAAGTAAAACAATTCTAATCTCCCCAAAACAAGCACAAAGGCATCATCAACATTTGCTGAAATAGTTTCTAAATATTGGAAGATAATGGAGTCGATCGCATACACACTGGTCCTTTCCCGAACCCGGGGATGAATGGGGGCCTGACTCTGACTTACCTGGGGGTCCTGGGAACCCTTCACGACCTGGATCTCCTGCGAAACCCTTGAGCCCTGGCTCTCCGTCGGCTCCTGGGAAGCCTGGTATCCCTCGAAGGCCTTTGGCACCTAACCACGCAGATAAAAACAGACATGTCAGGTCCCAGGACGACACACGGGCTGTGATCGTGTTTGCATCTTACTCAATATGGTTTCTCATGAAACCGGGCCATGTTGAGGCTGGGGGGACATCAGCCCTACGACACACAACCCGGCTTACAGAACACTTCTTGGTGGCTAAAATCCTGCTTAAGGACTCAACCCATAAAGAAGAAAAACATCCAATATTAAGATTCTGCGGCATCCTAGCTAAGGGTTTGGGGCTGGAGTCAGAATGCCTGGCTGTTAGTGTATCTCTGCCTGTTCTGTGTGACGCTGAATGAGCTCCTAAACCTCCCTGTGCCTCAGTTTTCTCATCTGTAAAATGGGGAGAATGACAATACCTACTTCATGGGGCATCATGATGACTAAACGAGGAAACCTTGTTTCACACTTGGACAGCGTGTGAGCTCCGTGAATGCTCGTACAGTTAAAGGGCTGGTGTTCCTCACCAACGCACAGGGCTGAGCTCCCACGCTTTTCCATCCACGTTTCCAGCTTTTCTTCAGGAAGGGGCTGCTGTGCGACGCAAACCCACCCTTCCCTCTTGGAAAGTGGGTGTGCAGATGGCAGAAGTGAGAGGGAGGAGCCAGACGGGAAACAAGCCAGGGGTCTGCAGTGACTGGCTGAGGCAGGATGGCCCTGGGGCCACAGAGACCAGCCCAGGACATCCGGGCCCTTTGCCCGAGACCAGCCTCAGAACACGTGTCTCGCCTAGGCGTGTCCACTGTGTTGGCCTCGGTCCTCCCTGACCACCAAGACATGACTGGTGAGAGGTTCTCGCATGAGCCAGAGTCTGCAAACTGACACCAACGCACACTCCTAAATACAGGCGATTCCTGGGGAAACGTCCCCCTCTCCAGCTCCGTCTCCCTCGGATCCAGGCCAATCCCGAGAGATGAGAAGCTCCGCAGAGCTGCGGGAGCCGAGGAGACCCTCTCACCCTCCCAGGACGAGGCCCGAGACGGCTGTTCTCACGGCGGACGCGGTGTGTGAGGAGCGGACAGAGCCAGCAGCAGCCTGCTCCACGGAAGGCGCGACGCAGGCCCCGAGACAGACCCAGGGGACGTGGCCGCAGGCAGCGCTCCTGCTGGGGAGCTGGGTGCTCCTGACCAGCTGCCGGGCCTGGGCACCTCGGGTCTGACCACGGCATCCAAAGCCGCTCTGCTGTTGGCACACACGTGGCTGCGGGGCTGAGAACACGCACTGTGAGCAACGAGCTCCAGGCAGGACCCTCCTGCCCTCCGCCCGAACTTCAGGGGGCTCTGGGCTCAGAGACCAAGGCCCAGAAGGGTCCCCAGAATCTCCCAGAATTCTGCTTCACCTTCTGCTCTCCTAATCCTTTGTTTGAATGGAATGACTAAAAAATAAGGTCTCTGAGAGTTTGCGTGTACGTACGACTGTATTTTAAAAATTGCTCCCTTTCATGCTCCCCCTTTCTGGAGATTTCTGTCCCCAAAGCAGGCAGCCTGGCTGTGCTTGAGGGCAGTGCCCTGTCTGTCTTGCCTCCACTACACCTCCCGGTGCTAACACTCACAGCGTAGCGGCACGGCCTGCCCCCGGCGTGAATAGCAATGTCGTTCTGAGCGCGGTGACCGGTCCGCACACCAGGAGTGGCGGCTGGCTCTGCCTGGCTGGGCTCCGCGCGAGCCTCTGACGCTGACTGGAAGTATGTGCCAGCAGGTCACACAGTGACGTGGGTCCTCAGGAGGGCTCACCAGGGGACTTGGCTCATGGAACAGCGCCAGGAAGGGCAGCCTGAGGACAGGGCTGGGGCTCTGCACCGGGAATGTGTCTGTCTAGATCATGAGGGGCAGGGAAACGACTGTTCCCTGAGGTACCCATGGGGTGGGCGCAGGGACGTGTGGGGTGAGTGCCCAGGCCACGGAGTCCCCACTTCAGAGGCTCAGCGTGCACCCGGGGTCCGTGGCATTTACATGTTTAAGGACAGGCAGAATGGAGAAGCAGCTTTGGCAGGATTCTGGGGACGGAGCCCCTCCCGCTTCTGCTAGATCATCGGGAAGGTTCTTTCCCGTCCCCGTGGGGAATTAGCACCGCACGGAGGGCCGAGGGTGAGCGTTCTGCCTGTCACTGGCTGGCTTCCAGACCCCGGGCAGGCCTTTTGCAGGCAGATTCCCATCTTCGTATCGGGAGGTGGCGCACACCTGCACTTCTCTGAGAACCGCGTTTTGAGACGGGCCAGCGTCCCCTCCAGCAAGGAGAGTCTACACCGCATCACAGTCCATCCAACTTCCCGTGGCCTGCTGTGGGGGAGGGTGGCAGCTCTCCACAAACGGTCAGGGTTTTCACAATTTTGAAAAATCTTTTGAAGGTTCCCAGGACTTCAACTAGAGTCGAGCAGAAGTCACAGAAGCCTAGAACGTTGAGGGGGCCGTTGGCCGAATTATCCCCGTTCCGAACGCAGAGCGGCACAGCGCTCTGAGCTGCGAGCTGTTCACGGTCATTACCCGGGGCGGGCCCAGCTGGGGCCAATATCCCCGTGTTATGGGTCTGGTGCACAGATTAGCTTAAGCTTGAAAGGGAAAGAGGGAGAAGGCTGGTTCTGCCTTGCTAACATCAAAAGAATATTGTTTTCCAATTTAATTGTAGGCTCATTGCACATTTGAATAACCACCTTATAGACTAAGCCTCAGTCTGTACCAGAAATACTGCATCCATGATCTCATTAAGACCTCATTGTCTCCTCGCTGTGCAATCTCATTAACGCACAAGGTCTCATTGACCCTCCACCTCGCGAAGCTTAGTGTCGCCAAAACATACTCAGCCAAGCCTCTGCCCTTACACCCAGTACACTTTATGTCTACTTGGGGCCCTGCTTCTGTGCAGCTGCTGCTGAAAACGACCCCACTGTCCCCGAGCCCCAGCCCCTCCCCATGGAGCCGTCACTGCTCTGGGGGTTGTGGCATCAGTGGCCGTCGGAATCCACGGACAGACAGAACCAGAGCCGGGGGCAGGCACCACGAGGGTGACGAGCTGTGGAAGGTGCACATTCCGGCCTCCGAGGTGCACAAGGGCTCTCACGCTGCCTCACAGTGCCAATGATGCTGCACTTCGACCTACTGTCCCCAGATCCTGCAACTGCTGTGCACCCCGAAGATGCCCTGAAGGTCCAGGACACAGGACATGTCAGCCTGCTTTCCTACTTTTGAGGGCTGTTTGCACAACCCTGGCTTCGCACTTTACAGTGTACACAGGGCCTCAGCCACAGTGGATCATGTGAAGTACTGGGGGCATCTTGGCAAGCAGGAAGAGTCTAGAACACCTGTACTGTTCCTTATTCCCCCTGCCCAGGTGAGGACTGAGTCCAGAAAGAACAAGGGAGAACAGCTCCAGCTGCGTGTCTCATCTCTCAACACTGAATTTTCCCACTGCCTCCTCGGCGCGGTGACCAAGGCACTTCCCCTGCCCTGTCGCAGGCTGAGGAGGAGGAAATCAGAGGGCCACCCCCTGGAGCAGAGCTCCTGCGGCTCCAGTCAGAGAACGTGCTTCCAGGGCAGGGTGGCCCCAGACGGCGGCCCCGACTCCCCAGCAGGAGCCCTTTGCGGGGTGACCAGCCAGGGCCGGCAGCAAGGCCCAGCTCCCCCTGCACGCCAGAGACCAATTGCTAGCTGCCTCTATTTCTGTTTCCTGTCGATCAACCCCCCGCCCAAAAGATCCCTCTCCTGTATGCTCCTTTCATATATCTTGGGTACAAAGGGATAAAATGAAAATGCAGAGAGAGGCATGTTCCCTCCCCAGCCACAGAGAGGAGGCTCAGTCTCTGCCACCGTGGGTACGCCTTTGAGACCCAGAGCGGAATTTTCTCTCCAGCCTGGGCTCTGAGTGTCAGATGCATCTTTCTGCAGCAGTCAGTGAAGGTCCGCTCCCTGCGGACGGTGCCCAGTTTGTGGTAGGACGCTGGGCACGGCCACGGTGGGTGGGGAGGGCAGGGCCAGAGGAAAGATGGACAGAGAGGAAAACGAGGATGGAAGTGCCCAAGGAAGGCTGGGCTCTCTCCAGTTTCCCGCAGAGAGTTACCTGTGAGGCCTGGGGATCCTGGCAGGCCCGGCAGTCCCTTGGGCCCTCCAATGCAACCTGGGGAGAGAGGAGAAAGGATGAGCCTGGTGATCTCTAATGCCAAGTCTCACGACCTTGGGGAAGGCCAAGGTCAAAAGCACCGGCCATGCAAACCAGCCACCATCTTACGATCAGAGTAATTTAGTGATTTAATTAATCTCGGTTCTGATGCAAATAAAAGTTTAATTTCATTGTGCAATGAAATCAGAATATTAACATAAAATGCAAATTTAGTCTAGCCAAGTACAAAGCGGTCCTGTGCTGACAAACGGCTCATTGCCCCATGTAGGGCACCAGCCCCGGCCCACGCGGAATCAATCGGGGTCTTGTTAGTGTGGACGCCTCTCTCATCTGACATGTCTGTCAGCGAATGGAGACAGCTCTAGATCTCAGAAGGAATTTGCCGTCTCCTTTGTGACTCTGAATACTTCCAGAATGAACCACAGCAACTGGCTGCCTTGAGCAGGCACTTCTGCTTGGTCTGGCCGAGAGCAGAGACATTCGGCAAGGGTACTCTGCTGTCCGGCCTGTGTCTACGCAGGCACAGTAATTCCTAGAAACCTCGTCTGTCTGGCCTGATTCAAGCCCACAGCCTGAGCAGTTCAGCCTCTGCCTTCTTAGCTCTCCGGTAGGAAAGGGCTTCCCACGGGAGGATTCAGTGAGTCTCTCTCCATCTCTATCGGGTTGTTATTAATGCAATACAGCATTGAGTAGACCACCCAGCTAGTGCGAATCACGTGTGACTCATCACTCCAGACTGTGGCTCTGAATCCAGAATGTTCCTTGAGGTACCATGGAGCAGCTCCTCCACTAGGCAAGTGCTGGGGTCACCTTGCCTTTAGGAGCCCGTGGAGGGTCTGGTTTCCCAACTCCTCACCTCGAACACCACTTGCTCTCAGCTGCCTTGGACATGCCGAGGATCTTGGTGTGGCTCAGAATGGCTGTGTACACAAGACCTCATGCTCTGGGAATGCACCCACGGCCACAACTTCCTCACAGTCCAAGCCCTGCCATCCCTACCACGTGTCATCAGAATCCCTGCCGTGGCCGGAAGCCCTTGGTGCATCCCGTCTTCCGGCCCAGCATTGCTGGTTTGGGGCTCCTGCTCTACCTGGCTGAGATGCCTCCTTCAGACGTATCTGTGACTGGCAATGACAGGTGCCACCATTCCACACACTTCCTCCTGGCCTTCTAGGCCCTTCCCATGTGCTGTCCTAGGCCCACCAGGACCACCACCGGCTCTCATGGCCACCTGTGCACAGCCCCAGGCAGTCTGGCTGGGTCACCGGCTCCCCTGTGGTCCTGGCCTGTCACAGTGCTGCCACAGGTTCGTGGTTTTTGTGTCTGGCCCTCCCCCCCACCATTCTTGACCTCCATGGCAGCCCCCCTGGGGCAGCACTCACACTTCCCTGAGAAGCTCTCTGCCCTCCCCGGCCCGCAAGGCTCTGCCCCCAGTCTACTGAATGCAAAGCTCCTTTTCCTACCGCCCCTGAATGGGGCATCTCCAAGACCCCTGGCTTTGTTTTTTCTGCTACCTCCATCACAGGTGCAACCTGGCCAGCCTTCCTGAGAAAGGAACCCGACATTTTCTGGAGGGGCCTGGCCTCCCGACAGCTTTAAGCACTCTAAAGCCACCTGTCTTCCCCGCAGTACCTGGCTGGACAGCCTCTTGTCCGTCCCCTCCAATGGGCCTTTTCACGCCGGTGTCACAATCTGGGGGAAGACACAGGCAACAGTGAGGCAGTCTGGAACAACTGGAAGTCAGTGGCTCATCCAGGGCCCCGCAGGTGCGTGAGGGGTGTGCATGGCTATGTGCTGCTGGTGTGAGCAGGACCCTCTGTGCAAAGCCTCTGTCACTTCAGCCCTGGAGGGTCAGCTGCTGGGAGGAGGCTGCTGGGGGGCCCAGAGCCCCCACGGTTGGGGAATCGTCTGTGCACGGGGAGAGCAGAACACCCTCCTCTGACCCTACGGGAGTCCGAGCGCTGGCGGGAAGAGCAGCCATGTGGCAGCACCGATGCTGTCTCACGTCTGCAGAAAGGGAGCGGAGGATTCCTCCTACCTATTTGTCCTGGGGTGCCGGGGGGCCCGGGAGGACCCGGGAAGCCTGAGGGTCCAGGTAATCCGGTGTCTCCAGGGAAGCCGCGCTCGCCTTTTGGGCCTGGTAAGCCCTGGCCCGGGGAGCCCCTCTCTCCTGGGACCCCCTTCGTTCCAGGTGCTCCTGGGTAGCCCTGGTCCCCCGGGGGGCCTGGGATGCCATCGCCCTGTGTGAAAATTGTTTATCTCTTAAAATATATACAGACATCAAAGACAGCCACTAATTCCCATTTTCCTTTCCCTGTTTCCCGGAATTCTGTGCCATGGATACAGGATGGAAAGACAGCAGAGGCTTATGGGAACTGACTATCGTGGTGTAGTCAAGTCACAGGAGTCAGCGACTGCGTGTGAACAACTGTGAGCAGCACACCAAGGCATGCACATGTACCCACGTGTCTATTTCTCTCCTCCCACCACTCGCTGCCCTGGGTCAGCTCCGACCTTCACTCGAGAAAGATTTCTGTAGAACAGCTAGGGAGACTTAGGTAACTGGGGCGAGAACACGTCATTTTGCTGTAATTTAGCATTGTGACATACCTACTAGTCACAGGGATGATCCACTGCTGAGGAAAGGAAGCTAATTTAGATGCGAAAGCGCGTCCTGCCCCTTGGACTTCGGGCGCGAGGACAGGGTCAAGAAGGAGAGAGACTGTGGACGTCCCACGGCTTGTGAATGGAAGCGCCGCCACTGAGGGCCGGGGAGGCTGCACGGAGCAGGGCAGCACCGCGCTGGGAGCAGAGGAAAAGGGGCAGTGCCGCGCGCGGGTGGGGATGGCGGCCAGGCTGGGCGCTGCACCGCGGGCCACCGGGCCCACGCCAGGGAGGTGCCTCCCCTCTCCGCGGCTTCACAGGCCACCACCTGCACAAGGCCACCACCACGGTGACAAGTCAGGGCTCACACACCACACACACACACACACACACACACACACACACACACGCTCTCCACACACAACCGCTCTCCACACACAACTGCACACACACACCACATCCACACACACAGACGCTCCCCACACACAATCGCACACACACACCACATCCACACACACATGCTCCCCACACACAACCGCACACACACACCACATACACACACACACACATGCTCCTCACACACAACCACACACACAAACCACACGCACACACTCCTCACACACAACCGCACACACACACCACATCCACACACACACACATGCTCCTCACACACAACCGCACACACAAACCACACACACACTCCTCACACACAACCGCACATACACAGCATATCCACACACACACACACATGCTCCCCACACACAACCACACACACACCACATCCACACACACACACACACGCTGCCCATACACAACCACACACACACACGCCACATCCACACACACATGCTCCCCACACACAACTGCACACACACACAACTGCACACACACCACATATCTGTACACACAAACGCACATCCACACACACACACCACACACCTATTCCAATGACTGGTCTCCATTAAAAGGGGCGACTGGGAGCCAGAGCGCACGCGTGGAGGCGGCGTGGAGACGCAGGGAAAGAGCCGTCCACCGCCAAGGCAGGCGGGAGGGGCCGGGCCTCCCACCGCAGCAGAACCAGCCCTGCCGACCCCGCCAGCTCGGACTCCAGCCCGCAGAGCTGCAGACAACGACCTTCCTAACACAAAGAGCTTGCACAGGCACAGGCTTGATAACCAGAGGGAGGAGATAAAATGCAACTAGAGAAACAATGCTGCAGAGTCAGGAGCACAGAAAAGTCAGGGCTGCTGACGGGAAGGGCTGTGCACTGCGGTCCCTCCCTGCGGCTCCTTGGCCTCCCGAGGAGGGGAGACTCGCTGGGGTCCCCGCAGGTCCCTAGATACCCTCTTGCTCAATACTGGCCTCTGTGTTGCAAAAACAAAATTGTTTATTTCAAAATTTATCCTGGAAAAATAGGGTTCCACCACTCACTTTGGAAGAGCGTGTGTTCGGGGCTCTTTCTGTGTTGCGCCATGAGAAATGCTTATTCACTCTTTTACTTTTAAATGTCCACTCTGGGCTTGGCTTCCAACTTAACTCACTGTTTCCTAAAAAATGTGATTTTTGCTCATTACAAATAGGACGATCCTGTCCTATGTTAGGTTGGTTCAGTGCTGAGGCCAATTCCATCTGCTTCTCAGGTTTTTAAAAAACGCGAATGATGTAGGAGCTGAGTCTGCCCTGCAGCTCACAGCCACTCACCGGAGGGCCTGGGAGGCCAGGAAATCCGTCGAGCCCCTCACGCCCTGGGAGGCCGTCGTCACCTTTTATCCCCGGCACACCCGGGACGCCTGGTTGTCCCCGCTCACCTGGGAAAGAGTTTGCACGTGAATCTCCTCATATGGTCCGGCGCACCTGCAGAAAGGCTCCGTGGCCGAGAACTGTGCGGCCACAGAAGAACTGACCTTTGGTTGTGATTGTTCTGGAGTCTCCCTTTGCTCCTTTGGGCCCAGGCACGCCAACATTGCCAGGGGCTCCCTGTGGGAACAACACAAAGATGTTTCTTCCTCCTTCGGACCGTTAGGACATCTGAGAAGACAGTGACCTTTAGGCTCCTACAACACGCAGCAGCCACCCAGGCCAGGGCAAAGGAAGTCCAATGGCATCTCCACAAAGCCCTGGGGTTCACACACTCAGTGACTTTTGAGGAGCACGGACCCTATACTTAAGGTGGCTTACTCTAAACTACCGTCATTTAGGATCCAAGCAGGTGACAGGCCTCCAAGTACAAAGGACAAGAATTTGTGATAATTTAATATTGAGAACAATAAGTCGTGTTGAATAGACAATTTGTTTTCTAAACTGAGGTTAAGGTTGGGGGAGGACATAGTTTACAGAGAAGCCAGTTGCAGGGACACTCAGACTCCAGGCTGTAAAATCCAGTGTAGTTCTTCCCACAGCAGAAAGGAGCAGGCTAACGGTTCAGTATTCTGTTTTGATATGTGCCATGTTCTAGTTTTTGGCATATCCTGGTTGATGTTATTTCCAAGAATACGGGAGCTTTTAGCGTTGATTTAATTAAATGGAATGTTACAAGTTGATTATGAATTCCTTTCTCCTAGAAAATTCCACAAATACTTGATTTATTGATTTAGTTCTTTGCAGAAAAAGGCAACATTCTTTTCGTATCCAGGAGAGCATCTTACCCAAACAGTGCTCAATAAATGTGTGTGGCATACACAAATGTCTGGATGAATTTATTGACCTGTTCCCACACTCTGCCAGGCTCTAGCTGTGCAAATACTTTAAAAACCACCACCACCAATGAAAAACCCCCAGTTATCGCAGGCATTTTTATTGTACTGGGGTTGCCAGACACACAAACATATAATTTAAACGCAAGACACCAAACACAACCAGAGGTGTTGGAACAGAAGTCGTGTGGTCGGTGTGTAATATCAAAATACAAGTGGGAAACATGTACACTTGGAAGATGTTAGGTGTTCTGGGTGCACAGAATGGGATTCATTTGGCTTCTAGGAAACATTCAATCATTTTTTAAACAATAGAAGATCCTACTAGCTTTGTCATTAGTAAGTTTGCAATTCCTACTACATGCACTTTTTTCTGAATGCTTGAGCAACTATTGCTGCTTAGACAACCATCATTTAGAGATGGTATCATTTTTAAACTAGGAAACATAGCAACTACTATCGTTTGTTGGATTTTCCCATTTGTTTTCTGAGAAAATTTAGGGCCTGGAGCAGCAAGGTGCTTTGGGTCTTGTTTTCCCCAGCAAGGCTCCCGTGCCACGAAGCAATCAGAGTCTCGACCTTCCGCACCGGCAGCCGTGTAGCTGCAAGTCCTCCTCCACTGAGATGTTACATCACGAGTCAGACCATTCAAATGTCCTTGGCCAAGTGTCCCGAGCAATCTTTTTCTCTACTGTTGAATATATAAAACAATGGACTTTTTCCTTTGTAAATCTCCTGAGGTTCTATTTTTTATGTTTAAGAAAAAAAAACCCACAGAATATAATTTCTTTGCCTATATCTGAAATTTGCTCTGAAATCTCTGGTTAGCTAAAACCTGCCATGGAAGAAAGATCTACTCCAGGTGACCTTTCCAGAAGGCTTGAAAGAAAGGCTGCTTAGCCAACACGGATAGGGAACCCATGGGTAGGAGTTTCATACATTCCTACAAAGTAAATTTGCAATTTACCTGGAAATTGTGGTCACACTTTTTATTGGATTAAAGAAGCCTTCATAAAATGCTAAACCAGTTCCTACCAAATGTGAAGAGGTCAATGCTCAGTAAGTAATATGCTTTACATTCAAAATGCGAAGTCTTTTTTTTTAGAGATATAATTAATATACCACAAAATTCACTGTTTTGAAGCATAAAAGCCAGTGATTTTTAGTATTTTCATAAGGTTGTGCAACCATCTTATCATCTAATTCCAGAACTTTCTCATCATGTGAAAAAGAAACCCCATCCCTGGTAAGCAGTCACTGCCCGAACCTGCGGCAGCCACCAATCCACTTCCCGTCTCTGGAATTGCCTATTCTGGACATTTCCTATGAACAGAATCACATAATATTTCTTCTTTTGTGCGTGTCTCCTCTCACCTAGCTGGGTGTTTTCAAGGTTCACGCATACTGCAGCAGGTATCAGGACTGTCCCTACAGTTGAACAACATCCCATTGCCTGGATGTGTTAATACTGTATTCAGTTTATCCATTCATCAAGTGACGGACATTGGGTCATTTCCACCTTTTAGCTATCATGAAAAATGCCACTCTGAACACTGGCACACACATATTTGTGTGGACATGTTTTGATTCTCTTGGGGACACACCTAGGAGTGGCATTTCTGGGTCACGCGGTGACTCGGGTTAGCCCCAGGAGCTGCGGTGCCTCCCCTGCACTGCGGCACCGCCCAGCCACGCACGTGAAGGTTCTTAAAGTGCACGTGGGAGCACGTGGTGTTTCCGAAAGGTGCCTCCACCCCTTGGGGACACAAGTGTTGACGGTGTAAAGCTGAGTTAATTTAGCAGGTAAAAGCGAGGAATGGGACGAGTGGGGGGAGACTTAGGGCATCTCACAGCTTTGTGATAAACCGGCCATGGGGAGGCGCTGCGCTCTCACCTTGAACCCGGGGAACCCGGGGATGCCGTGCTGCCCGGGGTCTCCTGGCTCGCCTTTCCTGCCCGGATCCCCATTGAGGCCGGGGAAGCCCTTGGGTCCCGGCAGGCCTGGAACGCCCGTGACGAACTGATCATCGCCCGCTGCGCACCGGCAGTCCCCAGCGTCACCTGCGGGGCGGGAAGGCGGTTGCTCCGGAGGTCCCGCATGGCCTCTGAGCGTGGGGGGGGGGGTGAGCAGGGCTGGGCCCAGGAGGCAGCGCCAGCTGGGTGTCGTGCGGGCACTGGACGTGCATTCTCTGTCCTGATGGGGGTGGCCGTACCCACTTCTCAGAGGACGACAGCGAGGCTCGTAGTAAGTTACTCAAGCGTTTGCTCATGGTCTCCTCAGGCTGAGAACACTACTCCGGTGTTCACTGAAGATACTTAAAAACTGGGACACTTACTAAGCCTGGGCAGCGTTGAGGGGACTCTCAAGGACATTGAGGGATCTCCAGTGGCGTGTTGGGGGCCGAGGGGCGGGGCCAGCCCCAGGGAGCTGTCAGGGAGGGTGGCCTGGCAAGAGCCCTGGCCGTGGACGCCAAGGTCAGGGTGAGCAGGGAAGACAAACCCGACCTCCCTTCCTCCGTCTCGCCCCGGCTGGACCGGGAGCCAGGCAGCTAGGGAGCGTGCTGGTGGCAGGCTGGGCTCCCCTAGGGCTCAGGGCCCAAGGACATGCAGTGGCTCATCCACAGAATGCATGGCTGCCCCGGACTCCTGCAACCTGCCCTCAGGTGTGCCCAAGCGGATGAGGCTGCAGTAAACCTTCTTGGGGAGAGGTGACCCGGGAAGGCCCCCTCCAGCTCCCCTAGGTGTCCTACCTTTCCATCCCTTCTGTCCTCGGGTCCCAGGGGAGCCAGAGTGCCCAGGGAAGCCCACTCTTCCTTCTGTTCCTTTGAGGCCAAACAGGAAACCTAAGGAGAAGACCCACAGGCACAGGACGTCAGCATGCCACGGCCAGACCAGCATCTCGCTGAACCCAGCCGGCAAGGTTGTCTGCCTACTCTCCCCACATGGCCCGTCAACTCCATTCCTCCCCAAACACCCTTTTAGAAAGAAACTTAGGATGCTTTGTGGCCATAGCCTTCAGGGTTGGAGAGAAGTACATGAGTCTGCAAATTTAGTTTTTTCATTAACGTATAGAGATGAAAATCATTGCTTCTGATAAACATTGAGTCCAATGAAAGGTTTTCACTTATTTGGCCATGTAACTTGGATTCCAAGACTACCACATACTTCTGGTTCCTCAGAAAGGCAAAAAAAAAAAAAAAAAGAAAGAAAGAAAGAAAGAAAGAAAGAAAGAAAGAAAGAAAGAAAGAAAGAAAGAAAAGAAAGGATTAAGATGAGCTCCATTTCCCATTTTGTCCTTCTTTTCTGGAATGGGAATGGGTGCGTGTGTGCATACCACCCCTCCACTCACACTCTCTTTCCTCTCTCACTCTTCTGTGCACACGCGCACACACGCACAGCGCTAGTGTAACTAGGGAAGATCCCTTGTGACCAGTCTGAATTCAGTGTGGTCAGCCTCACTGCACAGTCCAGACCTTCCCCTCGCTCTTCTGAGCCTCTCCCAAATACCAAGGATCAGGGTCCTTCAGAAGTCCTGCCATCTCCTGCAGGGCTCAGTGACCCAGGCAGGGGTACCAGGGTGGGTGATGGTAAGAAATATTCACGCAGTGCCAATACAAGTCTTGGTGTTGCGTTCGAGAAGGGTGCCACCTTGTGGAAGAAAGAGAGCCATACATTTCTAGGACAGAAAAGCCCCTGTTGGGTGCGGAACCTACATGTGTCCCCTGATGCATTCTGTTCTCCTCACTGTTCAACCTAGTAGGGTCATAGATCCAACAAGCAAACAAAACTCCTCCCCCCAAATTAAAATGCCTGCTGCCATAAACACCACATGGTACCTGGAAGGAAGAAGAGAAAATGAGGCCACTAAGAAAGCAGGAAAGAGAAGAAAACACCAGATTTTAAAAACTTTAGCTATTTGCTTGGAAAAATAGCACCAAAATTTGAACATCAGCAAGCTCCTAGTAAGCATAAATATTTATGGAAAGGTGGCAATAAATATTTGTCCCATGTAATTTGGTCTCACATTTAATATAACTCCCTGACCCATTCATTCATTGATCAAACATTTACCCAGCTCCTGTGCCACGCTGGGCAAGGTGCTTGGCGCTGTGTGTATACAACTGGAAACAAACCAACACGCCCGCATGAAGCTTGCAGCCCAGGTGTAGAGACACACCAAACACACATCAGCAAACAAACTCACATAGAGTTTCAAACTGTGTCCTTTGCTGTGAGAACAGGGAGCTGGCAGAGAAAGTGGCAGGGACAAGCCCGTTAAAATGGGGTGGGCCAGCTCAGGAAAGTCCTTTCTGAGAAAGTGACACTTAAACCCAAAGCAGGGAGCGGGACGGAATTTCTGGGGGTGGATCAGAGTGTCTGAAAGGCCCTGTCAGTGTTGGGGGTGCTGAGCGGAGGGTAGATTTGCATGAGGGAGGGGACAGGGCCTGCCGCCACGGGGTCCCCGGGGCTGGGCTTGGCTTTCATCTGAAGGGCAATGGGAAGCCACGACAGGGCTTCGAGGAGGGCGATCACACGAGCTACATGGGGAGACCAGCTGCGAGAGAAAGGTGGTGGGCGTCTACTCCAGGAGACTAAGCATGGGAGGCGGCAGCTTGGATTAGGACGAAGGTGGTGCAAGGGACCGATTCAGGATTCGAGAGGAGGAATCACCAGGACAAGGAGAGGGCTTCAGGGTGGGGTAGGCGGTACAGCGTGGCCCCCAGGGCTCTGCTTCAGGGTCTGTGGGGTGGGCGAGGGTGGCAGGAGGGCCTGTGGCGGGGAGGGGGAGGTTAAGGGCTGAATTTCGCACAGAGGGCGAGGTGTTCGTGGGAGGTGTGTGCAGCGTCGACCATGCGTCCCGTAAAGCGTCTGGTTAGCAGTTATGTGTGTAGCTTGGAACACAGAGCAGGGCTAGAGACAGAATTACAGAGTGACTGGAGTAGAATTGTGTTTCCATGAACGGTGGGTTTATTTAGGGAGACAGTATAGCGAGAAGGGCGTGAGACTGGACTTCATGGGGCCCCACCGTCTACCGCTGCGGCCCCCAGGCCCCGGCCGCGGCCCAGTGCCGGTGCATGGCCAGTTAGGAAGAGGGCCACGCATCCCCGCTGAGCTCCGCGCCATCTCCCTGCCAGACGCCTCGCCACCCCCAGTTCATGGGAAAATTGTCTTCCTTGAAACTGGTCCCTGGTGCCAAACAGGTCGGGCACCGCAGGTCTACTGGATGGGTGGAGGGGGGAGAAGGAAGAGACTGCAAAGGAGCCTCAAAGAGAGTGGTCAGAGGGATGGGGCGGGCCGTGGGATTACAAGGAGGCAGGAGAAGCGAGCGTCACTACTGTGTGCGGCATGGCAGAGGCCTTCCTGGGACGGGGCTCTGCGGTGGTGACTCGTGGCAGCTGTCTTGGCCCAGTCATGGATTCGTGGGCTCTACTTTATGTCTCTAACCCCTCCTGATATTTTACGCGGAGCAGAGCATCACAGATAGAGTTATTCAACCACACATACTTTAGGGATGTCTGCATTTAAAATCTGGGACAGATTCTCCAGGACAAAGAGACTGTGGGTGTTCCTTATAGTGTCAGTATCAGATGCTTTGCAAATTTACCCAAAAAGGCACAGTGTGGCTGCCATAATGTGGCATCCTTCCTCTGTTGTTTTCCTGTTATCTAATATATTAATAATCTCCAAAAAGTCCTGTAGAACAGAGGTGTGCCTCTTAGATGTTTGATGGAGAGGCTGATGCCTGTAGTGAACCAGGCATATTTCATTTCAACTTGTTCTAGAGCAGGATGGAACTTCCCCTGGACTCTACTCAGTTAACTGAACTGGAAATAGGAGTAAGCAAAATACTTCATGCAAAAAGAAAGTTATCCTCATGGTTTGATTTTACAGGAATTGCAAAAGACTAAAAATTCTGGTTTTCATCAGTAGCAACCCATAAAATAAGATGAAATGCAGTTAACAAGAGAAGAAGCCAACAATTTCATTCCAAGGGAAAAGTCGAAGAACTCTGTGGGAATCAAGGTCACTGAGATTAAATTATGACTAAACACACACACACATTTAAAAAAAGACCATTGTGGCTGGCTACTTTTTGTACGAAAGGTTGCTTAAAAAAGGTTACTTGGAAACAATGTGTTTCACATTGGTAAGATGTATTTAAAAAAGAACTCAAGTTGTGTGCTTTTAAAATTTTTAGTTGATAAAATGTATCTGATACCATTCTATTTTATAAATTCCCTCATCTGTCTACAATACAGTAGATCAGAAATAAGTTGTTTGCAGTTGACTTATATTAGTAAATCACATACTTACTAAGCAAGAGTTATAAGACAAGATAGCATGCACCTGTGTCTTTATCAAAATGGAATTTAGTTACAGGAACAGTGGCAAAGTTAGCCCTTAATCACAGTTCTTTAAAGTGGCATATTTTTGTGCTTTTATTTTTAAAACATCATGTTCTGTTCCAAAAAAGGAAAACCCAAAAGATAACATTTACTTATATATTATATATTTATATATGTTATAAATATAATGCTCATAGAAACTTAGCTTTTATCACAGCTGTCACAGTAATAAATATTACTTCCAGGACAATAAAATAAAAGTGAAGGTAACACTGCTCAAACTATTTGGCAGATTCATGATTCACGGAAATATCTGTACCTAAAATTTTCAAAAGAATGTGGGAATATGTGTTTTATTCTAGTAGAAAAAAATGGGAAAGTAGAACCATATTAAGTTAAAATTTTACTATAGAATATAAAAAAGCAGAGAAATGACTATCGATCCTTTCAATGGAGAAAATATGTAGAGATATCCTTCTAATACCTCCAACAAGTTTGCTTCTAGAGATGGCAAAGAGAAGTGGTCTTCCAAAGGCAATTAAAACACAGATCTTTGAATCTGACCTTTAATTGAAATTGACACTACCCATCAGCAAAATGATATTCTTCCTCCCTGAAGACAGGAGCTGTACGAGATGACTGGGGGTGATGCAGGAAATTTAAAGTAAACTATTTTGGAAAAAGTTATTTTCCAAAAAGTTAAAAATTATTTTGGAAATAGTCTGCGGCCGGGGGGCAGACTATCAGGTCTGCTTACAGTGGCCGGTGAAGCACAGGAGAGAGGCTGCCAGCCAGGGCAAGGCCCTACCCTGAAAGAAGGTGCCTGGAATTTATCACCCAGACACCAGGGTGGCTTTTCCAGCCCACACCTGCTTCCAGACTTTGCACCTCAGGTGTTTTGCCAAAGCATCCTAACCTCCCTGTGTGATATCCATAGGCCTGTGAATACTTGACAGGCCCCTAAGACTGTGGACCCCAGAGAGCACCCACTATATCCTAATGTACCCCAATCCACTATGCCCTAGTCCACTGTCCTACCGGATCAGTTCACAAAACTATTTAGTAGAAAAAATAAATAAGATCTGGCCATGGTCAGGCTTCTCTGGACACCGGAACGCACCCTCCCTTGAGTTCCCTCTGCTCACCATCCGGTCCAGGTTCTCCGGCAGGCCCGGGGGGTCCTCGGAGCCCCGGCTTTCCATCTCCTCCAGGTGGGCCTGGGTAGCGTGCAGGGATGCCTGGGTCTCCTATGAAGCCTTTGGGACCCATCTCACCGGGCAGGCCCCGCTTCCCATCTGAAATCCAACAGCATTCATCAGCACGCGTCTCCTGGTATTGACCAGGTGCATTTGTGTTCGTGTTCACAGGACTCCTGGCAGGACTAGCAGGTTCACAGTCCCATCAATAACTCAAGGGGTAGATGCTGCTGGTATATCCCATTATTATTTTTCTACTTTAAAAAGGCTCCTCTGCTTGCCCCCTAAATAATGGCCTGATAGTTGTGACCAACACTTGGCAACAACATCTGATGATCCTCTATGCTTTGCTCAACCCACAATGGAACCGTGCGAGTTACTCCTCAACGGCACAACCTAACCTAGTGGGAGACTTATTGTCATAGGTGCGACGGTTCTGTGAAGACATAAAAACCATGCACGCAGGACTCCTCAGAGCTTGCTAAGTCTGATGTACGAGAAAAAGTAACAAAAACAGCAAAATAGCTGTGCAGTCAGTAAAGGCCTAGGGGTTTGTGTTGAGACCTGAGTGCAGTACTTTGGCCTTTGACTTTGGAACATGAGACCACATTACCTTCATCTATGATGGATGTGCCAGGCAGGCCAGGGGGGCCGGGGTCTCCTGGCTCACCCTGGCTGCCAGGCTCCCCATGGGCCCCTGGGAATCCCGGGTCACCTCTGGCACCTGGAACGGAGACAAGAAGAACAAGACCGTTGTCCAAGATTGTGGCAGATGTTCACTCTTCCACTGAGTAACATTTACAACTACCTTGCATGTTGTGTGTGCGCAGTGTGTGTGTGGTAAAATGTTAATATACAGGGTGGTTTCCGGTTGCAAGGCGCTTGTTCACAATCGAACAAGGGTGGTGCAAGATTCCTACAGATATTAAACAGTATGGAATGCCAAAAGGATACATGGAGCTTTCGAAGGGGGGGAGATTACTTGGGGGGGAAATCTGATATTGAGGAACCCCAGAGAACACAAATAGAAGTAGGTAACATTTGCACCCTTACTGTGTGCGGAGCTCAGTTTTAAACACTTGAGGTACATTTGACTCCACCGAGCCCGTGGTGTAGACGGCATAAGAGCCTCACTTTCGCAGATGGGGGAAGGACATCTGGGGGGGTGGGGGGTGGGGAGAACGGCCACACTGACTGCACTTGGCAGGACTCTGGCGGGAGTGCCAGGGTCCCGGCAGCGGGTTAGCAGGAAATCAGGATTCCAACACGGAGGAAAGAAGGCACTGGTGTGACTAGAAGTCCTGCTGCCCCGGCAGGCGCGGTCCCAGGGGGGCAAGGACTCCGTCCCCCAGCCCAGCTCCCTGCCCGGACCCTCTCCCCTCACTGTGTGCGGAGGAGCAGTGCCTGGCTGCTCTCTCAAGCGTTCAACCCTAAAGAGCAAATGCAAAGAGGCATCGCCAAGTTCTTTTGCCGTGTAAACAGCAATACTTCACTGTATAGCACATTTTTCTGGAATATAATTGAGAAGGATGAGGGAAAAGAGAAAAAAATATGTTTTAATACGTATTATTAATACGTAAGTTTTAATACGCAAGATTTAGTAATTTTTAGAGAACCCATCACTCTGCATATGATCTTCAATTTTTTAATCTCAAAAGAATATCCTCAAAGTAGGGAGAGGATTGGCGGGACTGATGCCTGCTGCGACCAGGCGGCCTGGGGCTGCATCTCGGCCTTCTCTTCTTACATCCGTGACCTTGGCCTTGGCAAGGCAGGCAACTGCCCTGACCTTCCGTTTCTCCCTCCGTAAAACGAGGAGGTTCATCCCCACCTCACAGGGCCATTAAAGTAAATAAACTGAAAAGTACAATAAGAACAACTAAGAACACGGCCTGGTACATAGTGAGTACTATATAAATGTTAGCCATTACTATCATTAAATAAAAAGAGACAAGATAAAATTTAAAACCATAGACTCTAGTTGCTTGGAAGAATAGCAAGATTAGTTTTGTTTTTAGTTACCTTGGAATCATTTCTTTTAGCACAACTCATCTCTCCTTTTTGTATTTTGACAAGCTCATGCAGTGTTACCTTGTAAAAGATACATGGATTTTCCTCCTTTTCCTGAGGGAATCTGCTCTTTAGTCAAGCTCTGACCCTAAGACACCCTGGAATGCAACTCAGTCAACATTCCCGCTCACCAATGATGCAGGAATGTTGTCAAGTAGCGAAGAGTGCAACTGTGACATTCCTGAATCTGCTTGTAGGAAAAAATCAATTTTAAAGCCATCCATCTTTCCAGTGAGAGTCCCAGGAAGACAGTATAGTGAAAAGAAAGAGCTGAATGAAAACTGGGCTCTCAGTCAGTGACATTTTCGAAAAATGCAAAAGAAATATTGCTAACATTAATCTAAAAATTATATTTCCAAAGTCTCAAAGCGAGTATTTCCATTTTACCAAAATCACCAATAATGAGTCGGGTCAGACAGCCTTGCAGTTTCAGCTGGGTTTCGGGTTTGGTCATTGCGTGGACACCTTGGATGAGAAGGTGGGGTGCCCCTTCCCGGTCAGGCATATCACTGGGTGGAGCACAGATTGCAGATGTACTCATCTATGGCTCCATGTCAACCAGAGAGACATGCCCAGGGGCCTGTTACATCTGTATTTTCACCAACGTTGGATGCAGACAAGCAAAAGTAGTTGTCACATGCACAGGTGGCTTGCAGGAAAGTGAATTCTCGACACTTGGACACATGGCAGGGTCAATCAAATGATCCATGGGGTTTAGGAAGAAAATGTCAGGGTGTCTTTATTTTTAGAAAATACTTGACCCTTCACAACGTATATCTGATATGCATGTGTTGTCACATCCATCGTTCAGTTTTAGAGGTAGTCATTGCTGGGCACCTACTATGTGCCCGGTACTGTCTCAGGCACTGGGGATGCAGCAGTGAACCATGCAGAGCTTTCTGCAACATGGAGAAATCACCATATACATACACACATACATGTATACACACAGGATTATTAGAAGGGGGTGCTGAAAATATTTTTTAACTGAGAACCACACACATTCCAACAGGTCCAGAGCCCAGTGCTATAACAGCTGGATGTGAATCCTATTTCCATATGATCTCACCAGTTTGGGAGGCTGAGCCCAAAGAACAAGTGTGCACTCAGCTGCAACACACACAACACCCTTCATTTAGACCCCAAAGTCGCCTGTGGCATGGGAGTGGTAGTTTATGTGTGAAATTTTGGGAATTTCATTGCCTTGAAGTTTGAGAGGACATGACTGTTTACAGATTATGGGTTAGGATCTATTCTGGGTGTCAGACTGGGAAGCTGGGGGCTCAGGGAATCTCGATACCTTTGGAGGAAAGAACCTCAAGGTGGCTGGGACTGCTGTCACTGCGTCCAGAGCCTGTAGAGTTTACATAGAAGTAAAGAATTCCCCAGCGGTGGGGTCTCACTTGGAAGGCAGCAGAGGCAGAATGATGGTCTCCCCGTGACACCTGTTATGCCACGAGGGACGAGGGAAGCTGTGCGCGAGACTGAGATTCTCCTAAGGTTGTGTTCTAAACACTTTTTGGTTTTGTTTTGCTTTGATTAGAAAAACTGCCTTAAAAGTTCATGACTCCATGTCTGTGAAGGAGAAACGTGTATGCGATGCTGACCCTGCAGGGGAAACTGCACACACACCTTTGGCGAGGGAAGGATGCGGGGAGTAGGCAGGCAGTCCTGGGGGTCCCCGGTCACCCGCTTCTCCCTAGAGAGAGGAAGGAGCAAAAGAGAGGATGTGAGGATAGCCCTTTGGAGTTTTTGACAATATGCCTATTTCCAAAGAACAATGATGAGTGTGTGCTAGCAGTTCGGCAGGTCAGCTCTTCTGACCAACTGAGCCGGGACTGTGCTTGGGGCAACTCGCCACCGTGCCGCGGTGGTGCGTCCGGGCATCCCAGCCTCTCGCCAGCTGCAGAGAACAGGGCAGGTGGCTGCCAATCCCATTTTGAGATTCTTGTCAAATGCCAGAGACTGTGCTTTTTGTAGTTCAGACTGTGACGTGGTTGATAATGGTACCTGACCCACCCGGTGAACTGGCGCGGCCGCACCCTGATGGAATGCATCAGTGTCGGTGAGGCATGACACTCTACCCGCTGCCTAGACGTCTTGAGCCTCTGAAGTCCTCGCCAGATTTGCCCCCACCCAGCGGGACAGGCTCCCCACCCGGCGAGTTCCCCTCTCGGCAGGACCAGCTGCACCCCGCCTGATCCTCAGCCGAATGGCTCCACCTCCCTGCCCACCACGGCATTACTCAGACAAGTCATCTCCTCCCTGGGAAGCAGGGGCCCTCACCCTCTTGCTCCTACGACGCCCGCCTCCTGCACCCCTGCTGGCTGCCTGTGCTGGGAGGCAGCTCTGAGGACAGCCCCAGGGCCCCACAGCAGGCGGCGTCCTCCCACAGGCTGGGCGTATGAGTGACCAACAAGTCGCTGCCCACCTCGTCTGCCCAGCGACAGGTGCCATGCGTTCGGCCATCTTGCACTGTTTAGGGCGGGGATGCTTCCTTCTCCAGGGAAGGACAGAAAGGACAAAGGAGCTCACCTTGGGTCCTCTGGGCCCATCAGGGCCTTGGAAACCATCCAGGCCTCTGCTTCCCTGCAAGAAAGAGGCGAGTTTATTATTATTATTTTTTAATCTCTAACAGATAGCTTAAACAAACGACTACAATATCATTACAGCTAACAAAATTAACAATAATCCATTAAATTTGTGAACCCAGTTTGTGTTTAATTTTCCCTGATTTTGGTCTCAGAAATGTCTTTTTAACATTGCTTTGCTTGAATCAGGAGCCAAACTCCAAACAGAACATTTGGCTCTGCTGGCTCCCGATTCTCTTTTCGTTTATAATAGTTCCTCCTTCACTTCTTCTTGTTCTTGTTTTTTTTTTTTTTTTTTTTAGCATCCCTTTGTTGTTGAAGAAACTGGGTCATTTGTGCAGCGAATGTCCCATTTCACCCTAGGGGCGTGGCTCCCACAAGCCCCCCCCCCCCAGCCTTCCCCCAGCTAGTCACTCGCCCTCTGCTCGCAGGGACTGTTCGCCCTCGGAGCTCGCTTCTACTTCCCCACGACCACTTGTGAGGCACAGGTGCTGGGGTGCCCCACCTTAGGGACTTTTCTGACTGCTCAGTGGGGTCAGGTGTTGACAACCTGACGCAGCTATTAAAACCCCTCACGCTAAGTTTTGTTTTCAATTACCCTGAACATCCATTGAAAGATAAAGGTTATCACAGTCACAACGGCAGGTGTCTCGATAAATTAGTAAAGCTTTTAAACAATCTCTTAATACAAATATATTCCCCTGTGTTAAAATATTTAGGGCTCAGCTCCCCAAATTCAGAATGCCAGATGCCCAAGCTACGAGAAATGCACATCCTTTGACTATTTTAGAGGCTTTCTGACAGCCAGGAGCAGTTACACTTGAAGTCATGTTGTTTGGACTGAACTGAGTTGGGCTCATTTTGTGCTTTTTGTTCTGGGCTTGTGGTTTAGACCCGGACTTCCTCTCACACTAGGTGGAGCTGAAGATTCAAAAGCACAGGCAAATTTCTGCAATGCTCAAAATGATGTCCTACTCAGAGGCTATCTCAGGAGATAAGCTGAGTGTCAGCCTGTGCCACGACTGAGGGGTGGGCGACGAGGCTTTCAGTCCGAGCTGTGGGCAGAGCCAACAGACCAGCGCAGCCCAAACGATGCCTGGGATTTCTCACCTCTACACTTCTGTGTCGCCAGGCATCACTCAGTCGTGCCGTGACATCAACAAACCAAAACAAGCATCCCCAAACACCAAGAGCTCCGCACTTTTGCTGAATAAGCCAAGATAGCACTAACACTTCTGAGATATGTCTGAACAGTTTGAAATTAAGTGGGAATTATGTAAAGTGAGGTGGAGAAAGAGAAGAATCAAATAGCACCTAGATTCCTCTGAGACTACTGGCACCTGGAACCCAGTAGTCTGGAACCTCAAGTTGAAGTGACCATATATAGCTCTTCCCCTGTGTTTTTCAGTGGCAGATGCAGCAAAGGGGTGGGAAGGCGGGGCGTGGTGCAGGAGCTATCTGGGGTGGTTACCCAGAGCCTGCTGGTGCTGTAATGGGAAGGGCCCTGTGGGGGCTCCATGGGCTTCCCCAAGACCTGCTTTGAGGCTTCCTCTTCTGCTAAGGGGGGCATCACAGAACTCACCATTAGGAGAAACTGAATCAGAAACTGACATTCAGATAATTGTCTATGTTAAAAGGAATAATTATATGGTGCTTTGAAGGGATACATTCCTTTCTCCCCATCTCCCTCCCCCAAATTTAGTAACATATCACTAACTTGAATTCAATGAGGTTTTATGTATGGTTTATGGGGAGTTCTGATTATAGAATTTCAGAAGTACAGAGTTGATTTTTATATTTTTCAAGGGTAGAAATGAGTCAAACCCAGTTAAACAAAATCATTAGGCAGAAGTCCTAGGGACTGGCTGCAACAGATGAAAAGAATTTACGATTAAACTCGTTTAGGGAAATGCATATTTCCAAAGCACTTAAGAACAGTTTAGTCTTCAGTGGTGAGAATATGCCTCCCTCATCTTTGTGCTGTTCATTTGTTTATTGCACTGTTTTCATTTCCATGGCCAAGGGAGCATTAGTTAGGTTGAATATAACTCATACGCCTCATGAAAGCATCTCCTTAAAGAAACTCTACCAGCCTAGAAATCAAATTTATCATACGAGAAGTCAGTGAGATTTCGGTGCAAGAGCCCAATCTGAAGTCACATGCCACCACTTCAGACTGCCACACATCGTCATGACCACTCTTGAGTTTGCACCTGGTACACCTGTGCAGATACGACGTCCCTGAGGTCCCGACTAGCCCTGAGGTAGCACGCACTGTGCTGCTGATGCCGGAGGACGTTCAACAGCATTTGTTAGCACGGATTCCTCAAAGGATACTTTCGAGGAATGAACACTCAATGTGCTCTCAATGAATACTTTTAAAAATAACTCTAGCTGTCAAAATTTTTTGCTCAGCTATTAAAAATAGGTTTCCCCTAGAAAAAGGAGGGGAAACAATCTCTAATTTTTCAGATAATTTAAGATAACCAAATTCATAAAACACACTTCTCCATTCCCTTTTAGAAAAGGCTAGAACTCATAGAAGTTCTATTAGCCTCTGCAGAAATGATGGCTAACCAATTCCGTGTTCATGTAGAGGAAAGAAAAACCTTTCCCACAGTATATATTCTCTTTTGGTTCCTCCCACTTGATGCACTGTTTATGTTCACAGATGCCCCCTTGGAGCTGCTTTTGGTTTCTGGCTTTATTTTATATCATAAAAAAAAAGTCAGCTGTAGAACGATGGCCAGCTGGCCAGTGGGTGACCCGGGACAGACATAGCTGTGGAGTGGTTTGGCCCTCACAGGCAGGACGCCTCCGTTATCTGTGTAGTCCTGCCTGTTTCCTACTCTACAGTCAAGTAAACTATCTCCCTTTAACCCACTTGACTGGAAAGATCTGTGTTTTCCAAGTTGTTGCAACAGTAGAAAGTGAGCTCAAAGATGTGAGCCTGCAACCCTCACATCTGGGCCACAGCCGTCAGCGCGGCCAGGTGGTCAGTGCTCGGAGCATCTTGCCTTTCCTCAACTCAGCTGCTGAGTTTAGGGTTAGCTGTGTCCAACTGCATTTTAAAACACTACAACTGCTTTGTGTTGGGGGTAGAAAAACTAATAATCATTAGGATTTCACTGCACATGGTAAAGAATTAACAGCAGCACTTTAATTATTTGGAGTGAATGGAAATGAGTCACTTTCAAATGCTCATGTCTGTGTCAGCCTCTGGCCCCTGACAACCTTGGCTTTTGTAAGCCTTTTGGTTGGGAAGCAGGTCGAGTGGCCGTTGCTCCAGGTGCACGACCGCTGGGGACACTCCGATCAGTTACTAATGCTATGAAAGGTTGGGTGTAATTAGGGCAGAACCTGATATGAGATTCCCAGCCTCAGTTCCGGGTAAAAAGACAGGAATGGGAAGAATAAGACCAATTGAGGTTTCAAAAGTCATCAAGATTGGTGGTAACTGCAAGTGGTTGAAACCAGAATATTGGATCAAGACGGCCCATGCCTGGAACCAGTGGAGGCGAGAACTGCAAACTGGGAGGTGAGTCCACCTGTGGTCCCAGGACAAACATGCAGAACTCCCCACAGGGACAGCCTTCACCCTCTCCAGCCATCACACCACCACCCTGCTGTGGCACCATGAGCAGGAGCATGGCATCAGGATTCTGAGGCTGAATTGATTTTTATAAGCATCTATTTCTATGCACCTACTGGGTCAGAACAACGAAAATACTAGCCCATGGGCACTGGTGTGTGTACCATAATGTTGACCGCATGCTTGTTGGAAATACGGAAACCTCGAGGGGCTAAGCAAATATGTCGCATCCATTTGCTGCAATTCACTGCAGCTCGTTAAAAGAATGAAGCAGACGTGTACATGCTAACATGGAACAGTCTCTGGGGTGCACTGGATGGAAAAGTCAAGCAGCAGGCTAGCACAGACACGTTCATTTCCTTTGTTGTTAAAGTACATGCATGTACAGCCACATAGCAGTGTGTGCCGGCACTAGCTGAAGCCAGACACAGGAGCTGCCAGCAGCTGGGGAGGGAAGGGGTCTGGGGGGAGGGTGTGCTGTGCATTCCAGGGCAGAACCAGTGAGCACAATGAACGGTGAAAACACACGGATCTCTAACCTAAACAATCTGCTTTTATGTGTGCTCTCTCTTATGATCTAGTGCTTAGACAAGTCTAGATCTGATCCAGATTCATGATACATTTCTCACATAACATTTCTTCTAAAAACAGCCAAAAGTCTGTCCAGGGAATACACACACATGATAAAAATAACTAATTGGGTTGTCATTACACATAAATGAGAATCACAGTGTGGGTCAATCTATACCAAAATTTAGATGAACCTTGGGCCACCCAGTTGACAACCTTCCCAAGGGTGACCATGACTCAGGGGAGGGGTGTGAGGTTGGAAGGGACAGAAGCCATGGCTGGTTGGGGCCGAGTGATGGAAACTTTGAGGGGGGATGGTGGGAGGGAGGGACCAAGGTCAGTGATCTGGCTCAATGCTGTGAATTGCAAATGCAGGGAAAGCGGTCAGTGGCTTTCTGGGGACAAGTGTTCCTCCCTGGGACACCATGGCCTTCCTATTTGACCTTTGTGAGATGTCGCAGGCCCAGAGCAGGTTGTCTTTTATGCATCAAACTTACTTTCTGTCCTGGCGAGCCTTTTTCACCGTCGAAGCCAGGGCTTCCCTGGTTGAACAGAAAACAGAAGCAACAACAGCTCAGAATATGCAGCCAAGTTTCCCGAGGGCTTTAGCAGGGGACTTGATGCTGATTAAAGCACCAACAGAACTAGTCTAAGGGCCAGATTTTGAAGACTGGTAACAAGCTACCAAATGCAATACCAAATGCAATTCTTTCCCCTTTTGATTATGATAAAAGGATTGATCCTTTGAAGGAAGCAAAATCCATCATAATAGCAAAGCTACCTTTACTATGAAAAGCATTAAAACCATCCAAAGACTTATTCTAAAGGAGATAAAGAATTTTAGCAACACTGTCATAAAATGCATTATTTCTACCACTTAAATATGGACAAATCTACAAAGACAGTATGGTAAAATAGTAAAAATATAAAAAGGTGTGCACGCCAATGTTCTGACAAGTCTCTTTAGTCTTCTTTTTGGAGGCTGTGACATACATCTTTTTAGTTGTAGCGACTGCCAGTCACAAAAACCCACTTTCTCTTCTTCCTGGATGTGGGGCTCTGACCACACCTAGGCAGAGGTTGTAGGGTCACTTTAGGCTGCAGCTCTGAAGGTAAGGTCTGCCTCTCGGGCGGCAGAATCACCTTGGGAGGAGACCTCTTCCCAACTCCCATAACTGGGGATATTTTTGCTGCACTCCTATGATTTTAGACAGTCCACACTTTTGGTTCCCAGAGACTAGCTTAGCCTAACGCACAATCAGAAAGGTTCCGTGCTGTGCTCCTTCTTCCGAATGGAGGGCACTGTGTCAACCCCCTCCGTTCCTGGGTGGGAAGGACGTGTCAGTGGGTTCAGGGAGTGGCAGGTGCACCTCTCCAGGGAGGCTGTGTGTGTGTGTGTGTGTGTGTGTGTGTCGGTGGGGAGGGGGAGGGTAGTGGGACACCTCTGTACTTTCTGTTCAATTTGCTGTGAACCTAAAACTGCTCTAAAGAAGAAAGTCTATGTGAAAAACAAAATGAAACAGGCGAGCACAGTTACAAGGCGCATGGTTTACCCTCATTCCTGAAAAGCCCACGATGCCTTCTTCTCCCTTCACGGAAATGCCCTAGGAGAGAACACAGAGCGCTGACGGAGGCCCTCGTGCGCCCCCGGCCCGGCCCCAGGAAGCTGGCCTGGATCACCGCGTGTGCAGGAGGGAGAGCATCCACCAGCCACATCTAAGTGACAGGAGGGAGGATGGACATCTGGGGGAAGGTGGCACAAAGATGAAAGAGACAGGGCGCAGCAGTGGCCTTGCCACAAGGGAAGCCACACTCAGTGGCTACATCTTCATGTTGCTTTTACAAACTTCGGAAAATGCTGACGAGCCAGTGTTTATGACGCAAAAAGGACAAAATTCTAAAACTGGTTTCTGGGAAGGAAGTGTAAGAGCAAATGCTACCGCTCTCTGGCTGTGGGCAAGCGACGGGAAACAAAGAGCACGTGGGCCGCTGGGACCACGGCACGTTCTGTCACTGCAGGGGGAACGCTGAGAACTTGGGGACGGCGGTGAGCAGGAGCATTTCCACTACGGGGCTTACTTTTATTCCTGGGTCTCCCTCACTTCCTTTTTCACCCTGTGAAGAACATAAAAAATAAGAAATGCTTATTAATTTGAGAATGGTGATGTTTAAAAATCGTTCAGGGCTCATGATAGGAGGTGAAAAGTACTTAATCAGACTTTAAACAATCATTATAAATTCACTGCAACAAATGACTCCTAAATTTTGCAGCTTCAAAATTCAAAGGGCAAAAACTATTATTTCTTCTAGATTTTCACAAGATAAATGAAAGCAGGTATTATTTCTCATATGACAAAGTCTGACTTTTCTTCTGTCTGAGGCTTTTTTCTCACTGGCCACGGTTCAAGCTCATGTTAACATCCGCACGGTGGGGGCAGGTGTCCGGGAAAGAGCCCCTGATGAAAATACTCATTTGAATAGGACATTATTAGGAAGGTCCTGGAGGAAAGGATGCATTTGGAACATACTAAAACACAAAGCGAAGTGGCTTTCAAAAGCAATGCCAATGTTGTATGATCTACTTTTCCCCACTTCGCTTTGTCTAAAATGGTGAAAGAAATATAACAACTGACAGGGTTCTTTGTCCCCAGCACTCCTAGAATGCACATGGGACCCCTGCAGCTCACCACTGCCCCCTGCAGGCTGGCTGTGCCCTGGCCCGTCCTCTCCTTTGTTGCAAAAAAGGAAGGGAGTGTAATTCAGAAGCTGAGTGTCTCTGTATGGACCAAACCTGCTCTGATCCCTCCACCCCTGGGCTCCTGTCCTGAAACGGGACACAGGCCCTACCTGCCACCTCCCAGGACACTTTTGTCAATGGTCACTCATACTCAGGCCACAGCTGCCTAGGTTGATTTCACCCCAAAGGCAGTGGTCCTGCCTGCCAAATCCCACCTGCAGCCCAGGACACTTGAGAGTTGGAAATTATATTCTATTTGGAAAGATAAGATTTCTATGTTTGGAGTTTTTATTTTAGTTCACTATTCCCACCTGACACAGCAGAACAGAAAGGCTCAGTCAGATGGAGGCACGCACCTGAGCAGGTGGGGCAGAGTGGCATTCAGTCCCGGGGCAGCAGGACACTAATTTCTATTTCAGACTCAGTAAGTTTTACATCAAACAAAATGTTAATTGAATTATAGGGCAAAAGTCTAAAAACTGACCCTGATCCTAAAAAAGTAAAAAAAGGTAATTACTGATGAAGAAGAAAAAGTAAGTTTTATTTTGTAGAATACAACAGTTTGCCCAGACAGTTTTATAATTCTGGCATTGAATTATGATTGTGAACCTACGTCTACATTGGAGACTCACATATTTCCGGATAGAATTGAGGTTTTAAATGGATTTTTGTGTTGCTTCAAATTCATCACAACTTTCAAGATGATGGACGGATGAAGCTCAGTCACTGTGAATCTAGTGACTGTCTAGAAGCGCCGAGAACATTCAGGAGGGCCTGGTTGTGTGTTTTCATGCGTAATTTGCCAATTTAGTGGTGAGGATTTTTCCACTTGGAATGTAATTGTTTGAATAAAATTACTATTTTTTCTTTTCCTTTTTTTAGTTCAATTGGGAAAACAGTCAGTTTTGCTGAAGCGTCATTACCTTGTACATATCCGAGATGTAGCTGATAGTGGGTCCCACGGAGGGGGGGTAATGATCCGACGGGATCCCGTTGGGCCCCGGCAGTCCCACATCACCCTGTGTGTTGTGTAGCAAAAGCAGTTGTCTTTACATTGAAAGGAAACTGCAAAATTTGAATGAAAGCAGAATCCCCCCACAATACTGCTATTTCTATTTCTGCATAGTACTTACCGCACATATAGCTATTTGAATTGTTATAATCATAACAAAATGAAATAATCATATAAAATCATTGGTATCCTACTTTCATTGGTAATCACTTAGAACTCATGTATAAAAGCCATGTAGTCTGTTCATAATTTTGGGCTGCATCTGCTTGTGTGGAATTATCTCCTTATGACGGAAATTCTTAGGGGGAAGGATAAATGTATTCACGATTCTTGATAGGTATCACTCTATTGCCTACCAAGATTGGCACCAAGACATAAGAAATGCTTCAGAAATGAAAGACTACTTCACCAGCTAAAAGTGTTTTTGTATAATAAAAGGCAGTCTTGAATAAATATATAATCCCAACTGCCTTAATATGCATTTTTATCATTAGCAGAAAACATTTTCCAGTGTGGTGCACGGACAGTGAAACCTCTCCGTCTGCAACATTACTGGGCGGCTGCCCTTGCACAGCATTCTGGCTTTACCTCCCAGAAACTAACTGACACAGAAAGAATGTTATTGTCTTTTCTTCTGTTATTTCCACATACAAGTTTGAGCCCAGATATCACATAACATGAACGGCAACAAACTGAGATGATGTATCAGCTGCAGAAAGTGGCAGTCTGTGGTGTTTTCTGAACATCCACTACAACAGTAACTTAAAAATGCCTAAAACTGTTTGTTCTTCTCCCTTGTACCTATACAGGCCTTGATGTTTTTTATCAATAATTTGAATGAGCTCATTGTAGATTACACACACTAATTTCACCTCCTTTAAATCTAATGTGACTATTCTCTCCTATTAGCAATGAATTATTTCCAGATTTTTCTTTTTCTTATATTTCTAATATTTCCATATTTCATTGTATGGATCTTTACATTTTTATGTGTTTGGCTTTTCTATGTTTTTCTTTTATGATTTCTCTTATGGTATTAATGCAAAGAATGAAGTCTTTCCTCTTTATGCCTGAGCAGTATAGGGGACTCCACTTAATATGCTGTTTAATCAAAAAGCAGAATGGACAACAAAATGAAAATGCTCAAATAATGATGTCAAAGGGACAAATCTATTTTACAGTGGGTTCATGGATTCCGTGGTAACTGGAATGGGATTATGTGTTGATGAGGCTTTGCTCATTGGGTGTGGGTGCCACAGGGGGACTTTCCTACATGTGATCGCCTGTGTTCCTCTCCAAGGCCATGAGGTCTTTCAATCTGAGCCTGACAGGCATTACAAGTCACATGGTCCTCGTTCCTGCCTTTGAGCCCAGCCAGAGCTGGTTCCTAAGATTGCCTGGCCCCTGAGATCCCCCGGGCCCTGAGGTGGCTCAGCGTCAGTCTTTGGCCTTGTCTCAGTCGTCTCAATCACCCCAAATTTCACTCACTAGAAGACACCCTTGGGGAAGTGCCTTTACTTCCACTCGCTGAAAATGGGCTGAGGTTACATCTCTGCGTAGAGGTCTAGGCCATGTAGACGGTTCACATTTACTGTCTCAATGACCCCTAATCATAGCTAGAGCCCGTCTGATGACCTGGCACTTCACAGTGATTATTTTCCTTTGCACACGGTCTGTTTGCAGATACCCTCAGGGTCACAGCACAAAACTGCCAATTGTCACGATCTATTTCTTGATTGTTAAGGACTACACACCTCTGCTCAAACCTACTAGGTTTCCTTTACCTTTTCTCCCTTTTGTCCATGAAAACCAAGTCCTCTGTTGCCCTAAAAAGAGAAATAATATTTTTAAGTGTTAAAAAGTCAAAAATCACAATGAAATACTTCATTTTAGAAAAAGAAACCCAAGACCTCCCTATCTGCAACATTACTGAACAACTACACATGCGTAGCATTCTGGCTTCATCTCCCGGAAACCAATCGGCCTCGTCACATCCTTTGACCAAGGCCTTGGTGGCCACGAGCGGGACAGCCGGGCTTGGATGCTGGCTCCTTCTGACCGTCAGCCATTGGGACGCTGTCTCTAGCTGTGGTCTGAGGGCGTTTCCTTGGGTCCTGGCCCCTCCAGACTTAGAGAGTAGCCTGTTTCATTCCCTATCTGAAGATCGTGATTCACTCTCTCCTCTGATGCAGCCTTTTCTCATTTTGGTAAAATAATCCAATTTCATGTAAACATTTCCTATTTTTTTAAATGATTTTAGAGGACTTAAAACCAATCAGAATTTAATGATTTTAAGTGATTCTTTGGGTTTTATCTAACATTTTGATCTTCCTTTCTGCTTAAGAGACAGAGTTAGGTGCAGTGTCTTAGTGAGTATTTAATAGTTTCAAGAATGGAGCAGCCACGTATGAGAAGATGGACCACAAAGGCATGCACCTCATAGACAAAGCACTCTTTTCTTCTACTTTCTTTCCCAGGGTCCCTGTATTCCCACAGTGACAAGTGATCCTGCAGGCCCTATCTGATCTTTCCCCCTGCAGTGTACCACCTGCCCCTCCAATGTCCAGATATTTTCTGAGAATAAAAACAAAACCTTTAATTAAGTTTTGTTTTTTGCTGCTTTCCCACCTGGCTCAGAGCTGCAATCAAAGCACAGAGATGCAGCCGGCTAGATGAGAATGCAGTCTGCCCAGCCCCCCACTGTTCCTCTCTGCCTCCTGAGCTGCCATCAAAGTCACCAGGAAGTGGCCTGGTTGGGGGTGAGGGGGGCTATTTGTGTTTGCCTTTGGCGAGTGGAGATCTGAGGCTCACGCCCAGCTCAGGGCCTGGCCGCCCAGCGCGACATCCGGGCTCTTGGCTCAGGGCCCTTCTCATCCCACTCAAGGCCGTGGCAGTGGGGAGTCCAGCAGCCTCCACGAGCTCAGCACCAGCCGGAAGCCCTGTCAGAGGTGACGGGAGCCTGAGGCATGGCTGAGGGGTGGTCACGCGGGCCACAGAAATGGGGCTTCAGGTGCAGCCGCCGTGGGAACGTGGGGCCTGAGCGTCTCACTGATGCAGAGCAGCCGAGCGCTTCCTACCAGCGGCCTAATATTTCTGACTCCTGCTGAGTTTTGATCAAATACTTCCCTTGTCAGCCTCATTCGTTTGTCTTGGATATTTACCCAACTTTCCTGGGTCGTAATGAACCCTAGATCTGTTCTCCAAGCTCCTAACCAACCACCTACTTTGTTGTGCTCCAACCAACTTAATAATCTTTCTGTGATGGAAAGGTATAGCCTGTCCTGAATGTCACCGAGCGCACCCCCAGGGGCTGATGAGTGGGCAGTTTGTCACTGGCCTCCTCATGACAGAGCTATGTCCTGTCAATTCTCACAATGTAACACATATGCATAAATACGAGCCGTCCCTAATTTGTTCTAATTTACATTTGCAATCAGATGTTCATCAATTTGGCTTTTGTATCACAGCAGGAAAGTAATAATTGATTTGCAAACAATAAATCACTCAACGCATTTACTTATTTAATGTGCCAGGGATTCCAGATGCACCATTGCATCCATCCTTGGAGTTACCTCTTAAAAACCTATAAAATGGTTCTCATTGTAATACAAACAATAAATAGTTGTCAACCAAATAGTTTTATGATAATAAAATATATATTCAAACACTCAAGTCCCCTCTCCCTCATCCCGCAGACCCACTTACTGGCTCTCCTTTTGGTCCAGGAGGTCCGGGTGGTCCCTGCACAAATACAAAGAAATTTGTGAACTGTTTTCTTTACCCCAGGACCCAGATAACATCTGCTAGGAAGCCTGGGAAAGCCATTTACTGTATATTTAGAACACTGTGCAGGCTGAGGAGCTGGGACAGAGGCCTAAAGACAGCTCCAGCTCTGAGCTGGCCGGCTGGCCACGGACAGCTGTTTCTGCTTTGCTTTTGTGTTTAGGCTTTTGACTTCACCCGTGTCCTCTTTGTGTTTGTTCTGGTCCCTTTGCGAGGTCCTAGGCCACGGGATGCAGAGACAGTCCTCTGATTTCCTCTGGGGGCCCCCATGAGACACTGTCCAGCACTTCCTGCTGGTGGCTGAGCAAATGTTCACGGGTGGAATTAATCCACAGGCCAACACGGCAGAGTGGAAAGTCTTTCTGCAAATACTGTGGTGCGTCTCTCTGCAAAGCATTCAGTGTTAACGCCATACTTGGTATAAAAGTATTTAAAAGGCCGGGCGTGGTGGCTCACGCCTGTAATCCTAGCACTCTGGGAGGCTGAGGCGGGTGGATTGCTCGTGGTCAGGAGTTCGAAACCAGCCTGAGCAAGAGCGAGATCCCGTCTCTACTATAAATAGAAAGAAATTAATTGGCCAACTAATATATAGAGAGAAAAAATTAGCCGGGCATGGTGGCGCATGCCTGTAGTCCCTGCTACCCGGGAGGCTGAGGTAGGAGGATTGTGTGAGCCCAGGAGTTTGAGGTTGCTGTGAGCTAGGCCGACGCCACAGCACTCACTCTAGCCTGGGCAACAAAGCAAGAGTCTGTCTCAAAAAAAAAAAAAAAAAGTATTTAAAACGCACTAGGAGAGTGTCTGCGCACAATGCCACAGATGCAAAGGCACGGACAAGTGTGGGCGAGGACGATTTTGCTGGCCCATGTGAGGAACTTAAAGCTGTACCCAGTCAAGGACCCAGTGAGTGTAATCTGTTGTATCAGACCTCTCTGAACTGTATATTTAAGGTACAAAAATTCTGACCAGGTAGCATGTGCTATGTGCTGTGACTAAGCCACAACTGCACGTAGTGAAGGAGCAAAGAGCACCTCATTATACCACCCTCGTTTCATTCCATTTGCCCAGATATTTCACAGATGGACGGCTACTTGCAAAAAGACTTTCATAGCATCAGGGAGATTTGCTTTGTAAAAATAAAATCTATTATTATGATTTGTTATTATATCTGAAGAAAATTATGAGTACTGCCTCCCCCCCCCTTTTAGTGTGATGGAATCTCTCTAAACATATGCATCTTCATTTTCTCTCAATATCCAATTCTTGGTGATACCACTGAGTCCCTTGATAGCTTGCTTCAATCTTGAGCACTGGTTTTCTGTGAGATGGTCTCTCTCACCTATAGCCAAAATCTCTCTTGTATAATTTAAGGCCTGTTTGTCTTACCACTAAAAAATGTGGAGAGCGAGAGAGCCAGAAACCCTCTTGCAGGGGCCAGTCCATCTTCCAAGTCACTGTTCACTGGGGGGTAGCCAGAGGGCTGTGTGAGCTCTAGCAACTCCCTTCTCCATGCTTCTGTCCTTGCTGCAAGCCCCCTGCATCCAAGCGTTTGTCTGGTCACGTCTCACTCTATCACTTGATTCGCAGGAGGAGGGAAAACCTGTAGACCTCTACTCCAGTAGGGCACTGTGATGGCCAAGAACTCACCTGCCACAATGGCCACAGCCCGGGTGTGATACACCTGCCACAATGGCCACGGCTGCGGTGTGATACACTTGCCACATGGCCATGGCTGGGGTGTGATACACCTGCCACAATGGCCACAGCTGGGGTGTGATACACCTGCCACAATGGCCATGGCCTGGGTGTGATACACCTGCCACAATGGCCATGGCCTGGGTGTGATACACCTGCCACAATGGGCATGGGCATGGCCCATGGGCATGGCCTAGCCCATTTTCTCCTTATTGACCTGTGGGACTTTGGACTTCTTTGCCCATGGATGATGGGCCCTTTGTCACCTTGGGTAGGTATGGGGCTGAAGGAGATATGCATGACTGGAGGGGCACCCTGCAGTACCACTTCAAAATTTGACATAATTGGCAGTAAGCTGGTGGCCGCAATTTTGAGTCCTTATTCTCCAACGTTAGTGGCAGCAGAATGTATGCAAAGAATAGCCATTTTGTCTGGGTATTTTCTACAATGACTATACGCATCAGAGTCATCTTAAAGCTTTCATCCACTTTCAACAGTTGAAGGAGCACATCTCTGAGGGATGACGTGACAGTGGTCCTAGGGTGCACACAGGTACTCAGGTACTTACTGGTCTTCCTGCAGCTCCAACTGGGCCCATCGGTCCAATGGGCCCAGGGCGGCCGGGAGGCCCCTATGGACAGGAAATAAGAGAATGTTTTGAAGAAAGCAGACTAGAGTCCTGAAGTTCTTAAACTTTTGTTGGGAATATTCTCTAATAAAAATAAACTTACCTGGTAACCAACCAACCCAGGCTCCCCAGGTTCACCCTAATTGAGGAGAAATAATTTTAAGAGTTATAGCTTTTAAGCGTCTTTAGATTTAGTTACATTTCATTACACTGTTGGAAATAAGCATGTGAAAGGTACCAGCCTCATCAGGACTCGGTAATGTTAACTACCTAACATTTGGCTGGGAGTACTATGAACATGGAAAAGAGATAAAGCTACAATTAAATTTAAGATAGAAAACATTGGGAATGAAAATGAGACAATTTTCATATTGATCACGGTTTAAACCGTGCTGTGAATTTGCACGGGATCACGTGATCAGGTCTCCCGTCTCTGGCGAACATACCCTGTACCTGTCGCGGTCCTCTCTGGACAGTGCGTAGGGTTCGCCTTTCTGCCCTTTGGGTCCAGGGGGCCCCTAATTAGCAGATAAATCATAAAAAGAAAAACACACAAAAAAGTTTATTAAAATTCAGTGCACATATAGTAATTTTGATGATTAAATATTGCCTTTTATAGGCAATGTCTAATTGTATTTATGGCTTATGTAGGTTATTCTGAATATCAACCCTTTTATTCAATCACAACAGTCAGACTTTTAATTTCAGATTGCCCCAATAGTATCTTTCCTCAGAGTTAAAATTATAATACTTTATAGGATTGAAGTTATTTTCAAAAACCCAAATGAATCCTCTGTAAACGAATCCTCTAGCATGGCACTATTTTCTTTTTCTTTGTAATGATATGATGTGCTCTCTTTGGCGTTAGTGTACTAAAGATATAACACATGTGCTCTTCAGCGCCACATAGGAGAGATGCCGGGTCATTCTCCAAAACTGGAGTTGTGTCGAATGTAATCAGCTGGTGTGTGTGTGTGTGTGTATATGTGTGTGTGTGTATATATATGTTTATGCATCAGCATCTTTAATATCGACATATAAAAATCAATATTTTAAAGTAGTAGATATGTTTCTTGATAACAGAATTTACGACAGCATAGAGTAGAAAATGGCGCGTAGTTTATTGAAAAGCTGAACATCATAATAAACAGACAGCCAAGGAGAGGGGACTGCAAGGTAGACGTGGGACCGTTAGGAGTAGAAATCTATTTGCTTCTAGTAAAAACAGGGTGAAGGGTGTTAACGATGCTCTTCCTCCACATTAAGGTTTATACATATTGTTTTTTCAATGAAAAGTCTTACTAAACAGAATTTTAGTATGACCCTGAATTTGTAAGATTTTCATGGTTAGAAGGTAGCAACATACTACTGAAAAAATATTTCAGGATTCCCTGCAAAAATCAATGAGACCATAAAACAGATTATTATCCAAAATTTCTTCCATCAAAATACAAACTCCTGCACTGTATGTGCTCGAGAGGGTAACCATGCTTGCATGTACAAAGGGTTTTATAATCTGATAAAAACAATGACTAACAGAGGATTCTGTCAAGGTTTCTGCTTTTTAATTCTAGTTTTTTTAAAATTTAGGTTTACTATTCCATGACTGCTGGCTGTTATTTGAATGGGAATGTGGGAGAAAGTGAACTGGTGCTTGGAGACTGCAGGAGTGAACAACGTCACTCAAGTCCACTGTTTTGTATCTAACGTTTAAAGAATCAACACAGAAGATGAAGATCCTTAAATCCAGCAAAGTCATGCCTTGAGCACTGCAGGAGAGCGTGAGCAGGGAGTTATGCTTCCAACCCGGCTATGAGACGAGGATTGCCCCAGGTGAGAAAGGGTTAGCAGGTGTCCACCTGTCCACCTGCCCATCCCACCCCTCCCCTCTGCTGGGCAAGCAGGAGGCAACTCTCATTTCTCAGAAAGTATCTCTAGGATAATTTCTTAACAGGGCCCCACACTGGACCTTCTGGGCTAAGCCCCAGGAAACAGGGCTCAGGAGAGGGCACCTTTTATACATCTGCACTCGCAAGCACCTGCCACCCATGGCGCCAGCACTAATTGAACCGCGTGCCGCAGGGATACTCACGGTAGGGCCAGGGAACCCGTCAGAGCCGTAGGGTCCCTGTGGGCCTGCATCACCCCTGGTTCCATTGCAGCCATCATAGCCGGGCCTTCCTCTGGGGCCTCCTTGCCCCGGATGTCCCTGGGAAAGAGAGCAGTAAGTGCACCTTCCTCCCACAGGTGTCTAGTTTCCACGGAGCTGTGTGAGGAGCCAGTTTTAAGTATTCTCATAAGCAATGTCCCTGGCATGAATCTAGGGGAAAGATAACTCAAAAATTGACAAATGAATGAAACAAAGATGAAATAAGAGAAGGCACAGGTATAGCTCTAAACAGGGAGTGGTTTTCAAGGTCAAGTTCTGTTTCACACGGGCTTTGGTAAGAAGTAACTATCTTGGGAGCTCCTCCGCCTTGCTCCATTGGGTTACTGTCTCTTAGTAGGGACAGGTAAGGGTAGATTTGAAAAGATTCTAGAATCGACTAGCTCCTTCTCAGGGAGGACAGGGATATCTTTATCAGTTGTCCTCAACTGAATTTTAGATGGTGAGTCTGACAGACCCGCATTCTAAACAGAGAAGGTGTTCATGCCTACAATGGGATTTTATCAATGGCTTAGCCATGTTTAAAATAATTGATTTTCTCTTATTTTACTTTCTTGGGAAACATTACTTTTTTAGATTTTTTTCCATTTTTTAAAAATTTCAGCATATTAGGAGGGTACAAATGTTAAGGTTACATATATTGCCCATGCCCCCCCTCCCCCCTCAAGTCAGAGCTTCCCCCAGACGTTGCACATCTCACTTATGTTTGTATGTACCCGTCCTCCCCTCCCACCCGCCCAACACCCGATAAATGTTGTTCCTATATGTCCACTTTTTATATTTTAAACGTGAGTATAAAGTGAGTCAGGTACCCTGAGATGTCTCAGAGTGGACGGAGGCAAAAGATCAAATGTCTATTGAACAACTAGGGAGGGTTGGGCTTAACCTGGGGACACCTTCGCTGCATTAATCTGGCTCCAGGACACACAGAGGAGCTGGGCAAATAATCTAATTTACCCACAACATGAGTATAGCCTATTCTGCTATTTCCTTAAACAATAGATATTTAGATATAAGCTTTATTATTATGCAATTTCTTTAAAATTTTGATTTTCTTGATCATAAGACGTATTTTCCAGAGTGATTTTTAGGCCATTAAGATGTCTATTAGATTTACTTTGAAGAATTAAGAAAATGTCAAGATAAATAAACAAATCATACATATGGGGCCCTGTAACCTGGATGATAATAAGAAATACAATGAGAAAAGTAGAGTTTTTCTTTTATTTTCACATCTCTCTACTTTGGATGTTCAAAGTCATTGCTTTCAAGTGGTGTCATCAGACAAGAGAGTGGATGGACTTTTAAAACTCTCTCGTGGTCTGAGAGATCAACATTGCACGCACAACTTCTCACTCTCTCTGACGGCCTTCAAAATGAAGACCCCAGGGTCTTTTAAAGCTGGTCCTTCAAATTCAGCTTGAGAAAACAGCTCTCTGCATGGTCTGCTCAAGGTCTTTCGTATGCTATGATGCTTTTGCTCAAAATGTACCACTGAGTTCTTCATCCTTCTCCTGGGTTACGTGCCTGCAGTAAGTGGTCTTTCTTCCTCACTTAGAACTGATATAAGTCACTTGAAATTGCATGCCATTATGATCTTTGTGCTTCAAAGAAAAAATTCAATTACATTGAGCTAAATGTCCATGTCTCATTGCTCAACATCTAATTAGATACCTTTCTCTATGACATAACTCTAAGATTTTACTGCACATCACAGCTAAAATTACCCAGGTCTCTCAAACTCTGCATTCATTAACTGATTAGTTATGAGAGGTGACATTTAGGTTAACTTTGTTTGTAGCGCTGGAGTTCTGTGGTTAAAGGGACTGTCAGTGTTTGAGCAGCACCAGGGTTCTGTAGCAGCACCAAGATCCTTCTCTGCTCACTACAATCACAAGAAATTACTTTCTTCCTAATTTGTGAGATATTTGATTCTGGTATTAAATGAACATAAAGTGGAAAATAAACAAAAATATGGTACAGGCAAGTTACAATTTTTTTTCCATAACGTCACTCCATTGTAATTCAGGTTTCAGCTTCCTAAAGGCAAAACTAATGGACAATCTAAGAGTTAAAAAAGTACTTTAAAAATAGGTGATTTAGTTTTAGGCCATTAGTAGGAAAATACGTTTTGTTGGATGTTTGAAATACGCAGATTCTTCAACTCTGCCCATTTCTCAAGATTCTGACTAATGTCAAGTCATTTCGTTGCTTGTTCAGAGCTGCACGGTGCTCCTGAGTGTCTGTCCGAGCCCACCCTCAGTGACACTTAGGATCACCGGCCATGTAGGTCTCGTGTCTTGGTGAACATGACTGCCTTTCTTCTGCTGTGACCGCTTCCTTCTACTGCCAGAAAGGTCTATGGAACACAGAGCTAAAGCTGTGCAGAGAAAGCCTGAGTTCTCCGTGACTCCTCTCCACTCGCCCGCTGTCTCTCAGCCTGCGAGGCAGCAGCCCTGCGCATGCAGCCTGGGAACGGGGCCTGTCTCCCGGCCAGTGTGCGTGTGCGTGTATGGGGATGGAGATGTCCAAGCAGGATAAGGGCACAGACATCTGTGTACACGTGTGAGGTTTATGAAGCAGATGTCTTAGAATGGCAGTGGGAGCCGGATGCGGGAGGGTCAGAACGTGCGATAAACACATTCATCCCCAGATCGGTCTGGCCAGGAAGCCAACTCTGGGAAATCTGCTCACGGATGCCTGTGAAGGAGGCTGTGAGTCAGGCTCTTTTGTTTATTTTTTTATGCCACAAGAAGTAAAGTAAACTAGGTTATAAAAACACATTTTATTGCCTTTTGAGATTTTTCTCATGAGCAAACCATGCCTTTTCTTTTTCTCATTTTGTGTGTGGTTGCTATAAAGAATTTGAGAAGCTGCACAAATGCTCAGCGGGGCTTCATTTTGTTCTTGGCGGGACTACTTTATATTCAGGTCATTCTGTAGTTCAAACGAAATGTCAAGACTGGCTGTTTACTGAGTATATGTGAATGACACTCGAGCTTCTTATTACAAAACAATGTCTAGTTTTAGCAAAGTAGCCTCAATGCCTAAGCCAAGTCTATAAGCACATTTATGAGGGAAACAATTTGTTCAATGGTTGACTGTTTCCAGGGGGAACATTTATGCACATATAATAGCCCTCACACGTTTGATGTTATAAACAAAAAGGAGGTCTCCTTCAAAATGTTTCTTTAAGTCATTAATGTATTGCTTAGAATGCACGCAATGCTTTAAAATTCTCATATGCCAAAAAACTTACGGGAATTCCATCAGCACCAGGGAATCCAGAAACGCCTCTTGCTCCCTGCAAAGAAAGCAAAGAAACTTAATGAAGGCCAAACACGCACCACCCTGCAGCCAGAGGGGTATCGCAGCGATACATACCACGTCTCCTTTTGGTCCCGTTATTCCAGGAGCTCCTCTTTCACCTTTGTCACCCTTGCGGCCCTGTAGTCCTGGGAATCCTTGCAACCCTGGTGGCCCATTGTAGCCTTGGGGGCCCACTGGCCCAGGCTGACCCTGTGGGAACAACACAGGTTCAACTTCCATAATTAATAACAATAAATACTCATTTCAGTTACGGTTACTTTTGAAACTACATGCTTCATTCTCAAAGAGGTATAAACTTCAGAGAACATCACAGGTAAACACACCACCATCTACTGCCACAATAGCTACTAAAGACAGTCATTTCCTGCTAAGAAAGAAGTCATCAGAGAGTTGCAGAGGAAAAAGTAATAAATGTGAAAAAATTATTCTAAATTATTTAAGTGACGCTATTATGGAATGATAATATTGTGTTGGGTTTCTTTTTAAGTCTTTTCAGTATAAACAAAAGTTCCAAACAAATTTCTACAATTTTATCTGTTTTTCTCAATATAATACATACAGTAGGTATGGAAATACATATTTCATCCAGATATTAAAATGACCCCCAGATGTTTAAGTGACTAGGTAATCTCTCCTTTTGGCCACACACAGAAAAAAAGCAAAGGGTTTCTGAAATATATAAAAGTGTATGTCCACATTCATTAGAATGGCTACTATTATTTTTAAAAACCCCAAATTAAAAGTGTTGGTGAGGATGTGGAGAAATCGGAACCCTTGTGTGTTGATGGTGGGGACGTAAAGTGGTGCAGCTGCTGCAGAAACAGCATGACGGCGCCTCAAAACCAAGAAAAGGAATTGCCATGGTATCCAGCGATTCCACTTCTGGGCATACACTCCAAACAACTGCAAGCAGAGATTCAAGCAGATATTTGTGCCCCCATGTGGGCAGCATTATTCAAGGTTGCCAAAGGGCGGGAACAACCCAAATGTCCGCCAGTGGATGAGTGCATGAACAGAACGTGGCACAACCACACAATGAAATGTCATGCAGCCACGAAGAAGAAGGAAGTCCTGACACCGGCTACTGCACGGATGAACCCTGTGGACATCACGCCGAGTGAAGGAAGCCAGTCAGAGGAGGATGGGTACTGTGTCGCTCCACCTATACAAGGTACGCAGAAGAGTCAAATCCACAGAGGCAGAGGTAGAATGGAGGATGCCAGGGGCTGGGGAGGGGAAATGCGGAGCCAAGTTTCAGTCTGGGGAGATTGGAGAGCTGTGGGCACTGATGTTGCTGGTGGCTGGACAGCAGTGCAGCTGTAGTTAAGGTCGCCTAACTGTGCACTTGCAAATGGTTAACATGCTAAATTTTGTCACATGTTTTAATCATAATAAAAAAAATTAAAAAATAATTTTTAAAATAAAAATGCATTTAAAATAAATTTACTACAATAACAATTTTTATTTTTTTTGAGACAGAGTCTCACTCTGTTGCCCAGGCTAGAGTGCCGTGGTGACAGCCTAGCTCACAGCAGCCTCAGACTCCTGGGCTCAAGCAATCCTACTGCCTCAGCCTCCAGAGTAGCTGGGACTACAGGCATGCGCCACCACGCCCAGCTAATTTTTTCTATGTATTTTTAGTTGACCAATTAATTTCTTTCTATTTTTAGTAGAGACGGTGTCTTGCTCTTGCTCAGGCTGGTTTCGAACTCCTGACCTTGAGTGATCCACCCGCCTCGGCCTCCCAGAGTGCTAGGATTACAGGCGTGAGCCACCACACACGGCCAACAACCATTTTTAAATAATGAACAAAGGAGGGGTGGAGGTTCTCTGTCCCCTAATGGAACTAATTCTTGTATAATATTACAGTTATATTCTAATCATTCACAGCTTAGCCCAAATGAAAAAATACATGTTTTGATTTCTCTCTAGGTAAATGAGTCTGTTTATTCATACAGAGCCTTTACCCGCAAGCGCCATTTGCTTGGACGTTTCATATTCCCATCTTGCCCTGTGCTCCGGAGGGACCTGAGCCATTTTTCTAGTCTCTTGCTCCACTGCCTACAGGCAGCCTTTCCCACCGAAACTGCCCAGCTGAGAAGCGTGTGCCTTTACAGACCGTTTGTAACGCCATCCTCAGTGAATTCCATTGCCATGCCTACCTGCCAGGCCCGCGGAGTTAGAAGCCAGGTGCTGGGGAAGTGGTGAGCTGACTCTCTGACGTGGAAGATGCCCACGCAGGCTAGGGTTGTGGTTGGTGGATGTGATTAAGACAACTTAGCCCAAAGCTTGGGACCCCTGCCCCCCAAACCAAGGCGAGTCGGGAAAGCTCACTTGGGCCTGCATCTGGGCCAACGTCTGAGTGTTAGGGACAGTGAGTTCTTCTCTAGCCAAGTTTTCCAGAAGAGTTCAGTCACTGCCTCGGTCAGCAAATTCCCAACTGGGGTAGCCTGATCTCAAGCATCGTAAGTAGCGGTGAAGTCCGTGAATCTCAACTCTCTTTGGAGAACATTATAAAAGTGAGTTTATGGCCACTGTGTTTCTTCCCAGTTGAGGAGAACTGTGGTGGTGGAAAGATAGCCCAGGCCTTGGACACGTGATACCCAGGCTCTTTTTATCTCTAAGGCTCAGTGGTTTTATCGCGCTACAGTTGTCGTAAGTTTGGGAACAAAACAGGCTTTGATTCTGATTTTTATGGATCTTTCCCAGTTGTGCTCATGTTTGCTTTGTTTGTGGCTATGCTAGAATATAACCATCTTATGATAACATATCATGCCATAAAGCCTGAAATTCCCCTAATCACGTTGAGACTTGCAGCTTGTTAGTGTTTACATTGAACATCTTTAGGGGGATAAAATGTTCCTCAATAGTACTGTCATTTTTATTGTCCATAAACTACATGTCTATCCAGTGGGATTATTTTATAGAGCCAACTAAAAGGGAACATGTACTGCTAACCAAAAATGGAATATGTGTGTCTTAATGATGAAAAGCCACATTCTTGTCTTGCATTCATTAACCTTTCCTCAATTCCCTTTGATGGGGAAAGTGACTAACCCCATCATGTACTAATTTTCCTTCCATTGTCAGTAAACTTCTTTCTAACCTTTATTTCCTGGATGGGAAGTCTGACTTTTGGAATAAAACTCTAGACTTTCTTTTTCTGAAGCATGATGTCACATTTTCTTTTTACTGAGGTGAAGTCCACATAAAACTAACCAATTAAAAATGTACAATTCAATGGCTTTAGTACATTCATCTTGTGCAACCACCATGTCTTTCTAGTTCCAAAACGTTTTTATCACCCCAAAAGGAAATCTTATATCCATTAAGCAATCACTCCCTGTTCTCCCAGCTCCTGGCAACCTCCAGTCTGCTTCTGTCTCTGTGGAGTTCCCTGTTCTGGACACTTATATAAATGGAATCATATGACATGTGAGTTTGCATGTCTGGCTCCTTTCACTAAACATAACGTTTTTGAGGTTCATCCACCCTGCAGTGTGTACCATACCTCATTCACTTTTATGGCTGAGTAACATTCCATTGTGGGGACAGACCACCATGTGTCCACTCGTCCATTCTGGGGCGTTCCCACCTTTTGGCTGCTGTGAATAGTGCCACTATGAGGATGCATGTATGAGTATACTCTTGAGTCTCTGTTTTGGATTATTTTGGGTGCATTCCCAGGAATGGAATTACTGATCCTATGACAATTTTACACTTAATTTTTTAGGTATTGGCAAACTGTCTTCCACAGTGGCTGCACCGTGTCACGATCCCACCAGCAATGCAGGGGGGTTCCAATTCCTCTGCATCCTGGCCAGTGCTCAAGATTTTGCATTTTTTTTGGCTATAGCCATCCTAGCAGGTGTCAAGATGAACACTCCATCCTGAGCTTTTGATAGGATGGAACACTCCCCAAGATTCATTCTGGCTTTCGTGCTGAGGAAGCACCAGGAGTCTGGGGACCATGTGAGGTAGCCCTGGTCCTCTGGGATGGAGCCCTCGCTTTTGCCCAAATACAAACCCTGCATTGCTGGCTGTGTGCACTCTTACGTCAAGGCCCAAGGAAGCTGCCAGTAATGCAGCTTTGGTCACCAGGGCCGGAGGTTTCCCGAGGATATCCTGCCTGACAGGGAAGTCTGGTGCGTCTATAAAGGGCAGCTGGGAGGATCAGGGACATGCAAAGGGTTTTCCTTTGTGCTAATCATCATCAACATCAATGTCCATCCTCTTCCTTTCCTTTCATAAGTGACCTTCAACATAAAAATTACCCAGAAAGAGTAAGAGTCTGGTTTTAAAGGTCTTTGCATAAATCTCAAAAGCTTCTACATTTCTAAAGCACCTAAAATTCCTCCAATATCCTTGATAAAAGTGTTTCCACAAAGTATTTCTCACAAGCCAGCAGACATTGCGGGAAGGAGCTGTCAGACCAAGGACCCCGTCCTTCCTGTCCCCAGACTCCCACAGCACACAATGCAGTTAGCATAGATGTACTTCCTAGGAAATAGGATCATGTTAAGTGTCATTTGATTGTGTATCTTTTGGGACAAAGTGCTATTACAAATGTTAAAAATGGTTTATCTCTTTTTGTCCCCAAGGCAACTGTGTAAAGTGACATGAACTCCGTTGGGAGGAGAGACTATATTGGGCGGACCAGCATCAGGGGCTGCTGCACACACAGCTCTGGGGCCCTGGCCGATGCCACTGTGCTCTCGATACTCACTACGAGGTCTGTACCAGCGCCACCTGGGAGCTTGATAGGAATGCAGAGTCTCAGGCCTGCAGAATCCTCCAGAATCCTGAATCTGCATTTAACCTGGTCCCCAGGAAAAGATGCCTCTGTACATTACAGTGTGAGAATCGCTGTGCAATAACACCCTAACTCCCTTCCTGGCGTTCTCAAGGGAGGAGGTAGGTATATGTTAAGAAGAAACATCTCTTAAGCATGAGGTTTGGAGATCAGAAGAAAGGTCTGGCTTACTGAGTCAGGTAGAGGAAAACTGAGTATTTATGTTGGTTAAGTATTATTTCTAATTAAAATTTTCTTGGCCTTATGCTTCAGTGACATCTACAGGACAGAATACATTTTGATCATGATTGGGATGGAGGGCTGCACATTGCCTTTCCGTCTTTGAAATCACTGCTGGCGTCTGTGGGACACCCGAGGTCTGTGTTGGAAGCTGCAG